GATCATTAGTTGGGAAGGTGCCTATAATAACCTATAGCTGGGTTATATCTTGGGGTATTTTAATACTATTTTAATAAAGAACTTAATGGATTGTGTGGAACCGTACACTTTCTAACAGCGTACACCACATTTATAAACGCCCCGTTGACCAAAGCTGGTGGTCAATAATTGATAATACAGAGAGAGCGTAAGAAAGCAGAGCAGGTTAATAAGGTTAATCTGTTTTCTACAGCACTGGTGATGTGTAATTGATCTGTGAAGCGGCAGAGCTGCAGGCACACTCCTCCTGCAGCCGCAGGACAAAGACTCGGGTCAGGCTGGGTCAGAGACACGGGTGACATCTGCTAATTGTCCCGGTGGGCCGGATGAGCCCCGCGCTCTGAATACCAGCAGCATGGCGGACGGCAGCTGCCACGGCTGACCACCTCTGGAGACTCGCACATTATTTACAGCCGCAGAAAACCTTTGTCTGAAGCCCCTGCTGTGCACACACTTACAGTAACACACACACACACACACACACACTAGGGCTGCACAATGTATCATTTCAGTTTCGATATCGTAATGTGTGCATTCACAATAGACACATCGCAGAATCTGCAAAGTCTGTTCAGAGCAAATCCAGCAATGTCAGTTGAGTTTAAGTTCAGTTATTGATTATTTATCTGTTAGGAAATGGCCAACACACACACTTAATACACAAAAACACTTCACTAAACATGTACACATGCCCTGCTGAAAAAAACAGATAAAACCAGCCTAAGCTGATTGGCTGGTTTTAGCTGGTCAACCAGCCTGGATTTAGAGGGGTTTTGGCCACTTCCAGGCTGGCTTCCAGCCATTTCCAGCCTGGTCTTAGCTGGAAAATGACCAGCTAAAACCAGCTTGACCAGTCTGGTTTAAGCTGGATACAGCTGGTTTTGGCTGGGCTCCCAGCCTGGCTAGGCTGGTCAAGCTAGTTTTAGCTGGTCATCTCCCAGCCTGACCAGCTAAGACCAGGCTGGAAATGGCTGGAAACCAGCCTGGAAGTACCCAAAACCTCTCTAAAACCAGCCTGGTTGACTAGCTAAAACCAGCCAACTAGCCTAGGCTGGTTTAAGCTGTTTTTTCAGTAAGGTGGACATCTTAGTATAGTATATATCAGGGGTTCTCAACTGGTTTGGCCATGGGCCCCACATTTTTACATGGTCATCAAGCCATGACCCAAATGTTTAGGAACTATAATACAATTTTAGGAATTATAATTAATTTGTATTTATTTGTTAACATACACAAGTAGTGACAGATAAATCGTAAGAAAATCACCAAGACTCACAAATGAACTATATATTTTATTGCTGTCATTTACCCAAATGTATAATATTATAGAAATATAACAGAGTAAAAACATCAAAAGGGTAGGGTTGTCATGCACGCATTTCAAAATAAAAGTCTAAATAAATAAAATATTCAACTTTTGTTGTTTTTTTGACCACCCACTGAAAATGTTCCCGCGACCCACCAGTTGAGAAAAACTGTACTATATAACCGAACGTTAATTATTCATTCATTTTCTTGTCGGCTTATTCCCTTTATTAATGCGGGGTTGCCACAGCGGAATGAACCACCAATTATCCAGCACATATAATTACGCAGCGTATTCCCTTCCAGTCACAACCCCTCTCTTTGAAACATCCACACTTACTACGGACAATTTAGCCCACCCAATTCACCTGTACCGCATGTCTTTGGACTGTGGGAGCACCCTGAGGAAACCCACGCGAACGCAGGGAGAACATGCAAACTCCACACGGAAATGCCAACTGAGCCGAGGATCGAACCAGCAACCCAGCAACCTTCTTGCTCTGAGGCGACAGCACTACCTACTGCGCCACTAAATCGCCGCAGGATAACTATGCTTATATATAATAACTTTAGTGTGAAAAGCTGTAACTTAGTTGATTTGTAAAGTTGTTGGTACCCAGGTAGCAAAGAAGTCTGGCACAGCAGGCATTCGTCCGGCACTGGCATACAACATGTGGGCCAAACATGGCCCAGGTTTGGCCGAGGTGGCACCGTCTTACAGGCGGCACTCAAGACTTGGGTCAAATCTCAAATGTAGTATTTCTATATGGGCCACGTACGTTCTGCCTATCTTGACCCACTTTTAAAATACATTTAAATTATTTTAGAGTAAAGAAAAAGTTCTTTCAATCAGGTCGCTACAAGAAAAAGCACAGCCATAAAGCGAAATGCTCCATGAGTTTATAAAAAACATTGCAGTCGTGACACACCAACATATCTGGCCCAGTTCAGGGTTATTAACTTGGCTGAGACTTGGCCCAGATATGGTCCATTTTTGCCTTTTGTATGGAACCCAGACTTGGTCCAGTCTTGTACCGTAATTCACGGCGGCATGTGGGCCAAGCAAATGCTGATGGTGTGGGCCAGATCTAGGCCAGAGAAGTTTTGCTATCGGGATAACTAATAAAGTTTTGGTAATTAATAACCTTGACTTTTCCGAACCTGACTGTAAAGCAGTAATGTGCAACTTGTGTAAAATTGCTTTGAAACAATAATGGGTGTAAAAAGTGATATACAAATAAACTTGAACTGATTTAAAATTTGAGTGGGATTATAGTTGACCAGGAACCACATTGTGAAGTTCAACCTCGTCTGTTTGTTTGCTTTGTTTTTAAGGCCTATGATTGTGAGATTTCAAGTGTATTTAAACCAATGACTGTAAAAAATATGGACGACGCGACAGCCCTTTTTCCCATTGAACGCCTTGAGGGCAAAACGCCTGCTTGACGGGCACAAACTGTTGCAAAAGACTGCTGAAATTGGAGCCTTGACATGCGCAGAAGGACTGTCTGATGGAGCCAGAGGAGGAGCCACGAAAATGAGCGGAGTCGAGCTTCCAATCAAACGCTTTATGTAAAATCAACCACGCCCCCCGAACTTCTCAGCATGCGTTTGCTGTCATATCAACACAAATGGATGTAATAACGTTAACAAATATGAGGGTTTTATATATTAAATCGCGGCAGCTTCGGGCCGCAGCGCATAACATACTCGCGGCATCGCGGGCTGATTCCGGCTCGCATGCGGCGGCTCGCTCGGCCGCCGCATCTGGCTCGATTGACTCGGGCTGGAATTGGGTAGTGAGTCCAGGCATCCGGAGTAGGTCCAGCAGAGGTAACATTAGTCAGTCTGAGCTCTAAGAGATAAGTCTCCGGCAGGCGAGAATCTAGCCGGAACTGTGTTTTGCTATCTGGGTGGTTAGGCGTGTATCAGCAAACTAATAAAGCCCGAAAAAAGCCCTGAACTTAGCGAATAAACAGTGTTCCACCAGATCATGTATGTCAGAAACTATAGTTTACTGCTGAACTCATTTTGTCATGGTAAAATAACACAGAAATCGAATAATAACACTTCAGTCTCCTGCCGAAGCTCAGACGCGCTGCTTTGAGAAACTGTCAATCACAGCTGTCAATCACGATGACACGCCCAGCATTAAATTACTGCTAAAAACAAACTGTTTACAAAAATGAAGATCTGCACCTATTTCCGCACAATAACCAGTGCCTAAATCGACCAGAACCATCTTTCGGGACATTTTATTGCAAGTGTAATATTTTTTTTTATTTGGGCTCAAGTCTCCTTCATTAACACGGAGGAGGCGGGCTTTATGACTTGTACTGCAGCCAGCCCCCAGGAGGCGATCTAACGGCCGAGACCTTCACTCAAACGCAGGCTTGCGGCACACTTGATTTAAACCATTTGTGTAGAAGAAATAATAACATTTTAACAAAGATTAATTTGATGGAAACAGGTTTGATTGAAATGCAACAGAAAGTAAATGATGGCAGATTAGGGTGAACGATAGCTTTATGCACGGTTTGACATACTAATCTTTCAGCCTTATACATTTTAATTAATTACTAATGTCAACTCTTTAAATAAATAGATTTTAAATTCAACGCATTAATGCATTTTAATTGATATATTTTAAAATCTATACATTCAAATCTTTCAATACTGACAGTGCATTGTGCATCACTTTTCACATAGTGGTTTGTTTATATTGGAAAATTTACTCTTACTTACTCTCAAGTGGTTTCAACCCTCAAGGTAAGTTTGAGTTTCTCTCATAAAAATATTCTGAAAAATGTTAGACCATTTACCTCCATTGGAAAAAACAATACTATGGAAGTCAATGGTTACAGGTTTTCAGCATTTTTCAAATTATCTTCTTTTGCCTTCAACAGAAGAAAGAAACTTGTTCGTGACAAGTGAACAATAAGTAAATGACGACAGGATTATCAGTTTTGGCCGAACTATATTCTGGTTTAAAAAAAGAAATTACTTTTATTTTAACATTAAATTGTGATGTTTAAGCAGCTAAATGCACGTTTTAAAAAAATAAGTGTGTCTACATCTAAGGTTTAGATTTTTAAAATGTGAGTAAACAGTATTTTTTTATTTTTTAGACAAAACTATCACTTTAAGCCTCTTTTAATCTAAAATATAGAAACGAAAAAGACAACATAATATATTTATACATACTTTATACTTAGTAATCTAAAAATGTGTTATTTAAATGTGTTACTTATGCTTGAAAAAAGAGGTTAAGAAAGGCTTAAGCCTAATGTATTACTTATTTATACCCAACACTGGATCTTAACCACGCTATTTCACTTCTTGAAGACTTCAGTCGATTAATTAGCATCACAACAGCACCTCTCGCGCTCGAGCACCGTAAAATCACACAATTGCAAATAACGACAAGCTCTAATACAAAAAACTACACGGCTCTTCAGAAAAGGGCACATTTTAACCAGATGCAGGGCAATAAATAGCAAAGGAAGCGTGTCACCCACTGAGACACATTCACATGGTAAACTGTGTAAAGGAGGAGCTCGAGGGTTTGGTTTTACCTCACTGAGCTGCTTTAACATGTTAATTTTACACGCGTCTGTTTGAGGTGTATATAAGGTGAGGAAGTGATGGATGCTGGCACATATAACAGCACTCTGAGAGTTATAAGGTCTCATTTACGTACTGCTCTCAGAAGTCACCGTCAGGATGCACGAAGAAACGAGCAATTCTACACTGCAGGGGAAAACTTCCTTCTCCATCGCAGACATTTTGGATCCCGCCAAATTCAACGGGACAAGAGAAACGCGGGAAATCTCCAGTGAGTTTGAGCGTTTTTATATCGCTTTATCGAAGGGAAAATTCGTTTTAAAAAGTATTATACTAGTATTATTTGATATAGCCAGCATATGATATGCCTGTGGTACAGTAAGTTTGTTGCAAGCTAGCTATTCAGGAATACAATAGCAATACTTTTCTTTAACAACATAATAAACACATTTGTCAGGTAAATTTGTGAGGTATTTACACAATATTTAACATTTATTTAATGAATTCTGCAAAATGTTGATTACATAATAACATTTAATGTAGAATTAATATTATAAAGATATTTTTGGACTTTTCAAAACAAAATAACAGGTGTTTTTCCAGGAGAGGGCAGTATTTGAATGTATTTGTATAAGTGTATTGTAGCCTACTATGGCAGCCTAAATATTGTTTTCATCAAAAGATTTATTAGTTCATACAATATTAAAAAAGACAGCTATTTAATATTTTAGAACTGTTGCAAGTTGCATAAAGTGCGTAGGCTTAAAAAGTTAGACAGGTCATAATTATATATATTTTTTCAGTTAACAAGCGGTTAATTAGGTGAACTTTCATCTGAAAAATAAAAGTGATTGTCCTTTTAACTTAACTGTTAGTTAGTGAAACCAGTGCTTAAAATGATAGTTCACCCAAAAACAACAAATTTTGTCATTATTTACTCACCGTTAAGTGGCAGCAATCCTGTTTGTGATTCTGTCTTCTGTTGACATCCATTGTAGCAACAAGAAGTCAATTGCTGTTTCTTCCAATATTCTTTAGTATAAATAATGGTGGAATTTTTTGGGGGGTGAATTTTCTCTTTAAGACCAATTCTTAACATGTTGACTGATAAGTCTTAACACAGTGACTGTTTATGCTTCCATTAACCGATGATTACTATATCAAAAATATCTGAATTATTATTCACCCTATGATGAAATTTGTATAATTTGTTTAACAGACCAAGAGAATTTCACAGTATTTCCTATAATATTTTGTCTTCTGGGAAAAAATCTTATTTATTTTAGTTTGACTGGAACAAAAGCAGTTTTTGAAACAATATTAATAATATTGTCTACCTAATTATTCTAACTTGCCTTGTTAACTTAATTAATCCAATTAAATCCAGCTAAATATTACCATTTTTTTTTTAATTATTAGAAAAATATTGTGCACTGTCACCATGTCAAAAACTTTTAATTATTAGTTACGCTTTAGTTTTAAAAAAAAAATATTTATTCATTTAATTCATTTTCTTTTCGGCTTAGTCCCTTTATTAATCTGGGGTCGCAACAGCGGAACCGCCAACTTATATAGCATATGTTTTATGCAGCGGATGCCCTTCCAGCTACAACCCATCACTGGGAAAAACCCTTTCACACTCATTCACACACATACACTTCAGACAATTTAATGAACGAAAACCCACACGAACATGGGGAGAACATGCAAACTCCACACAGAAATGCCAACTGACCCAGCCGAGGCTCGAATAAGGCGACCTTCTTGCCGTGAGGCGATCGTGGTACCTACTGTGCCACCGTGCTGCCCCTTTTTAAAATATAAAAAAATAAATATATTCTTCATTAAGCAACACTTGTGAAATATTATTTAAATAATTAATTTTACAAAAGTGCAAATTATTTTGACGTCAATTGTATATTTGATCTAGTTGAGGGTTTGGTCACATACTACAGTTAACGAAATAATCCACGCAACATATTCCAATTGCATCTACATTCATTTCAGATAACAGAGAATCACCGAAGACGACTTCTCCAACTCAAGACCCATCGGCTCCAAACATCGCGAATGCTTCTGCTGCAAAAGTGAAGTCGAAGCGCATCCGCACCGCATTCACACTGGATCAGCTGCGCATCCTGGAGCGAAGCTTTCAGAGCAGCCACTATCTGTCAGTGTTCGAGCGCCACTGCATCGCCTCAGCCCTCGGCCTCTCAGAAACGCAGGTCAAGATCTGGTTTCAGAACCGACGCACCAAATGGAAGAAGGAGCTGGACGGTCACGGTGGAGAAGAGCAGAGCCACTGCGCACCCACAGCACTCACGCAAAACCCAATCATGTACGCTCTGCCTGGACATCACGCTAACCATCATGTGCATTATTACCCACAACAAACACATTACCTGAACACATCTTTCCATCCTCAGACGCTTATGATGTACTGATGTACTGTTAAACTTACATAGAAATCTGATGAAAATATATGCAAATTACACATATGACAAGTTCATTTTGGATTTAGTTTCCCAGCACGGTGCTGAGTAGCTACTGGAAGGGCATTAGCTGCATACAACATATGCCAGTAGTTGGTGGTTCATTCCACTGTGGATAAATCAGGGACTATGCCAAAGGAAAATGATTGAAAGAATATTTGGATTTACATAAATGAAATATGCAAAATATTATTTAAAATATTGCAAAATGGCTGCTTATTTTATATTTTAATATATATTTTTTCAAGGATTGGAATTACAAAAATGTGCATACATGTAAAAAAAAAAAAATTATATATTCATCTAAAAAAGCCCATCTGATTGGCCACATCTGATTAAATTTATTGCACTGCTCTGTAGTATGGATATTGCATATACTAATATTGCGATAACGGTATTTTTCGACACATATTGCAGCCATAACATATCGACATACAAGTAATTACAATTGCAAAGAACGTTTGTTTACATATATTTTCGTATGTATTTAGATATATGGTAGAGCTACATGAAAAATATCGTTATCGCATTATAGTAGTATATACAATATCCATATCGCAGAGAAGTGCAATAAATTTAATCAGATGTGGCTAATTAGATGGGCTTTTTATTGATGCAATAAGCTCAGAAAGATATCCGTTTGTTTTAGTATGATCATTATATATAATTATAATAATTAAAAAGTGTTAGTTATATCGTAAGAAATATGATTATCGCAACACTCAACAACAATATCGCTTATTTTCCCATCGTGCTGCCTTAATATATTTTCAAATATATAAGCTATAATTTTATATATGTGTTCATATTTGGTCAACTTTATTAAATTTTTATATCGTACACTAATATAAATAAACATAAATATAGTCAAATTATTCATATCGCTGGCAAATTCTGATGTAAAGTTCCTTTTACTCAACCAGCAAGTTTGTTTTTGAGTGGATGACACCAGCTTTTCCCAAAAGATAATAAGACGGCTTCATTGTGGAAAACAATATTTCTCAGCTTTTATTTATATCTGGTGATCATTTTCCAAGGGTATAAATCATTTTCAGGCTGTATATTTGTGTTTACAATAGTAGGGAAAAACATATTTAAGTGGTCATTTTTGCAATATTTTAAAGTATGTGTTGAATATATGACATATATTTATGTAAAATTGAAATATTATCTTGTATGTTTTTTTATTATGTTTTTTTGTATTTGCTTTTTTTTTACTGTAAATTGCATATATTGGTATCAGATTTCTATATGGGATGTGTGATTTTTTTTTTCGACACTGAAATGAAGATCTTATAATGAAATGTCAGCTTTTTAATATGTAAATAATCATATTTTTGCTGTAATGTGCTCCAGAGTTCCTTTGAGGAGAGTTTATTTTGAGTAGTGAACGAGCACCAGCAAAATATTTAATGTATTTAATATTTGAAAACACTGTCATAATATTATTAATGTCTTTAACAGTTATATTTATACCACAGTTTAAATCGAAGTATTTGTAAAATTCTAAAATACAAACAATAAAGTTTATATTTTTGCACTTTATCTTTCTTTTTTTTTTGTCTTTTCCGAGAGTTGAAATCAACCGTAAGGTCTATGGAAACGTAAAATCTATGTTATCACCAACAGGCCCATGTCATATACAATACAGATACTTCATAAATAACCTACTATAAATTAAAAGCATTAATGTATGCTTTTTGTTTTCACAAGCTTTGGAGATGTAACAGAAATTCCGCTTTTAAATAATAGATCACCTCTAGCTTTCGTCATGAGGCTGTGCTCAAAATGACATCAATGTTTTCAGAGTGCACTGCGAAGAGAGCACAATTATAAACATGAAGATCGCTAAAACTGAACTGTAAAAATGCTTTGAAAGCAAATGACACCTAGGAGTGATGTCTTTAATGCTTCTTTTTAATTAATTCCAAGTTTAAATGTTTAAATGTACTAAATGAATAGGGCATAGGGGGGATAACTGGAATTAGAGCACAGCCAGGAATTATGTTTCTAACTACAGCTCCATAGGTGTAGCTCCAAGCATACAAGTTTGCGACGGAGTTTGCAAATGTTCGTTGGAACAACGGATTTGGGAAACACCAAATCAACAAACTATGTTTGTAACGACACAACTTGTGAGCTTAGTTGGCTAACGATGGTTTTCGGAAACGCACCCCTGGTTGGATTTGTTTGGTTTTGTCAACCCAAAAACGTACTCTGCCTGCAGCCTGGAGTTTCTTCAACTCATTTTGTGCAACAGGCCTCATGCGATTGTATCTTTTATTTAGTTTTGTAATCAGCACATTGCCTGTTGCTCCCAGATCTCACAAACAAGTTTATTAAAAAAGACAAAAATTAACTGGCTTATTTCCACTGACAAAATATTGATGCAGCCAGCGGGAGTCAAATAGATTGGACTTTTGTGCGCTGGAAAAAATAACAACATATAGAGTGAATTAAATCCAGTAGCAGATTCATTTACAGCTGGACGGCAGAAAGAGGCGACACACAGGAAATCGGAAGATAAGAGAAGAAGTGGCTCCTGGCTCACGATGATGAACATAAGCAAACGTCTGAAATGACTCCAAATGAGTCAAACAGAAACACATCTGCCAGCGTCTCGCCACATGTGTTTGATTAACATCAGATGTCCGCTGGCACCATCAATAAATAGCTGCTTTTCCGTGGCTGCCAGAGAAGCCGTCTGTATTTTCCACATTCTGAATCAGCGCAAACCAGGAATGGGGTCATAAATGTGCTGGTGTCAATAAAAAATATATTAGTTCTACAAGGCAAAGTGGAGAGCCAACATGGTTGAAAGCAAGCGAAGGTTAAAGGGATAGTTCATACAGTTCTGTCATCATTTACTCCCTCTTCAAGTGTTTCTTTCTTTGTTTCCAAACCCCTCCTTAGCGCAAAGCTTATCTGTGCTGATTGGACCGATGACCCAGTCTGTTGTGATTGGACAACAAGACAGAAAGAAATGCCCACCACAGCTACAGTATGAAGTAGCAGAGAGTATGTGAGAGCCCAATGCAGGAATGCAATGAAGCAATGCAGTTAAACACCAGCATACTCCTAATGCTAACAATGACGACACACATTCAGTATTAATCCACACAGTGGCAAAAGTTGAACTATATTGAAAATTAACCGCGCCACGCATGTGAGGAACCGCTGATGGTGGCCATAGCAACAAACAGTATCTAGTGAATAGATCACTAGCTCAGAAACACATTTAAAGAAGAAGCACGCGTCACGTTTTTAATGTGGTTTTGGATGCGATATGTGAACAGCCCCATACAGATTTAACCTGAGAGATACAGTACAAGCACTGATCTATAATCGATACGTGATTACAAGCTGCGCCATTACAACTTACAACACACAATTAAACACATATTTTGCAAACAAGGCAACAATTTTAGTTACACTCGCATGTTATGATCTGGAGGAAGTAGAAACTGGTCCATATGAACTGTAAAAGTTACTGACAAAGTCCCTGTCAAAGTCTGACAAAGTCCCATACATGATAGTCTCTGCTGCTCCTTCAATAGCAAACGGCCGGCGAATCCCGTGCTGCAGCGTAGGTTATTGTATCAATCATCAGACAAATGACAGGAGCAAACACAGCACAAGGTTAGCTATACTTGTTGTGAAAATGAACTTTAAGCCTTTATTCCCCTCAGCCGAATCTGTCAGTGATCATCATCTGATCAGTCCCGTGATCCCTCGCGCCTTCGCTAGTGTGTAAAGGGATTTTACCGGATTTCATTTTACCGGAACTGGAACTACAAATTTGGTGATGTACCGTATCAAAGTCGATGTGTAACGGTGGCCAGCTAGTGAAGTCCTGTGCAGGTAAACCTCACTCCTCTGACCTCTAAAGGTGCTCTAGCGACAGACACTAGAGGCCATGGTCTTTAGTGTCCTTATTAGAGCAACCGACTCCCATGCGAAAGGTCGCCATTTCGATACCAGCTCGGAGTAGGACTGGCAGGGTTACATTGAACGTAACGGAGGCCAGCTAGTAAGTGCTGTGCAGGTCTGTAGAGGTCACTCCTCTGACCTATAAAGGTGCTCTAGCGACAGACACTGGAGGCCATGGTCTTTAGTCTCTTTGGTAGAGCAACCAACTCCCGTGTGGAAAGTAGCTGTTTTGATACCAGCTTGGAGCGGGTTGGGTGGCGTAGGACCGACGAGATTACATTGACTGTAATGGAGGCCAGCTAGTAAGTGCTGTGCAGGTCTGTAGAGGTCACTTCTCTGACCTCTAAAGGTGCTCTAGCGACAGACACTAGAGGCCATGGTCTTTAGTCTCCTTGGTAGAGCAACCAACTCCCGTGTGGAAGGTCGCTATTTCGATTCCAGCTCGGAGCGGGTTGGGTGGTGTAGGACCGGCGAGGTTACACTGGTGCCGTGACCCGGATGGGAGTGAGGTTTAAGGGGGTGAGTGTAACGGAGGCCAGCTAGTAAGTGCTGTGCAGGTAAACCTCACTCCTCTGACCTCTAAAGGTGCTCTAGCGACAGACACTAGAGGCCATGGTCTTTAGCCTCCTTGGTAAAGCAACCAACTCCCATGCGGAAGGTTGCTGGTTTCATACCAGCTCAGAGCGGGTTGGGTGGCGTAGGACTGGCAGGGTTACATTGAGCGTAACAGAGGCCAGCTAGTAAGTGCTGTGCAGGTCTGTAGAGGTCACTCCTCTGACCTATAAAGGTGCTCTAGCGACATACACTAGAGGCCATGTTCTTTAGTCTCCTTGGTAGTGCAACCAACTCCCATGCGGAAGGTCGCTGCTTCGATACCAGCTCGGAGGGGGTTGGGCAGTGTAGGACCGGCGGGGTTACATTGGTGCAGTGACCCGGATGGGAGTGAGGTTTGAGGGGGTGAGTGTAACGGAGGCCAGCTAGTAAGTGCTGTGCAGGTAAACCACACTCCTCTGACCTCTAGGTCCTCTAGCAACAGACACTAGTGGCCATGGTCTTTAGCCTCCTTGGTAGAGCAACCGACTCCCATGCGGAAGATTGCTGGTTCGATGCCAGCTCAAAGCGGGTTGGGTGGCGTAGGACTCGCTGGGTTACAGATGCAATCAATCAAAAGGTCTGAACCCAACTCGACTCCGAGTCGACTATTTTGTTAAAGAATCAATAGTTTTAATCACAGTGCACATTTAGATTTAAACCTCAGCTGGATGTTTTCATTCACTTAGAGCTGTGTTACACACTGCATGAACATCATTTTCAAAAACCCATAATAGGGGCTCTTTAATATAATTTACCATTAGAAACAGGATATATTTACAGACTGCTGCTACATATCTGTGTTTATATCCCTTATAAAAGCCTCTTTAAAGTCCTTGTTGAACCTCCCTCTCTCTCTCTCTCTATCAGTCTCCTCCTCCTTTTTTCGGTGTGTTTTGTCCTCCTCCTCCTCACTCACTCAGAGGGGGATGTCAGAGGAATTCCTTTCCACTACAACAGCGGAAAACAGCCACAATCCCCCTTACATCTGACCTCCACACCAGCTTCATTTATTCCATCTCCAGCGCAGACCAAGAGTCTGCAAACATTCAGATCAACGACTTTTCATAGACCAGAGTGCTAGCTGACCGGTTTATGCACACACTTACCATCTCTGAACAGTAGCACTGGTGCAGAAGATCCCAGAAGACCATGAGGGTTTTAGTATGTGCAGCGTTATTTGCTCTATGCTGGATTTTGACATTTGCTATCAATGAAGAGTTGGCTAATGCTCCCAACCAGAGAACCAGAAGCATCCAAATGAGACAAAGCAATGGAGTTAAATCCAACAGAGATGATCTGCAGGAAGGGTTTTCAGAGGACACTCAGATGGACGAGCCTGGAGAAGAAATGGCTGAAAAGGAAAAACCAAAGGGTAAAAAGACACCAGAGGAGATCTTAGCTGGTAAGTCACCTTTATAAAGTGCTTAACATTTAGTAAAAAGTCGTTTAGACTTTATGTAATGAGGTTTTCGGTGGCTGCAGCCCAGTTTTTGTAGGAGAGGAAAGATGTGCTTTGTCAAAATGACAGATAACTGGCTCCGCCGAAAGCTTTTACTGGCTCTTCATGAGGTTATGCAACAATTTACGAAAAACCATGACTGGTCTGTAGCCTGACACACTTTCTGCTGCTCTTTTCTTCTTCTTCGTTTTGGTCTTTCATCTGGAAAAAGAAACGTGAAGCAGGAGGCATGTGGGAATGAAATTACAGTTGTGGGCTGGACGAAAATCACAGATGGTTTGTGAAAACATTACGGGGTCTTGAATGTAAAAACAAACTCCTGCTCGCGTCAGAGTCCTGTGAGGTTTGGGAAACAGACAGAAAGGGATGCAGAGGCCACATTTGGTTTGAGTTGAAACCTTTGGAGTTATCTGATCTGTTTGAGACTGTGTGAGTGTATGTGTGACAACTCAGTCACAACAGCCTGAAAATCAGTAACAGAAGGAAGATACAGCATCCCAAGGAGAAATTTATCACCCCTTTGAAGCATGTTTGATCACAATCATCCTGTATTGAAGTATCAAGTCTCAGACGTTTCAATTAAAGACCCCCTATTTTGCATTATAAAAGGGTCATATTTTGGTTTTGGGATCTCCAACAACAGGCAATTAAATACATATTTTGCAAACTACACAAAACAAGCAACAATTTTAATGACACTTACATGTTATGAGCTGAAAGAAGAAGAAACGTTAGCAAACACTTGTGGAACAAAAACACTACCACTGCATAACAAACGGCACGCTATACACTATGCACTAATGCACTTAGTATACTGTATGAATTTAGTGTCAGTTAAAAAAAGGTGGCTGCATTTGGCTGAAATCATGTAAACAGTCCCCAAGTTAAGACCTAAGATAAGAAACTTTCTGTAATACTCCCTCTGGTCTTTGCATATGAGTTTCCAACAGTTATTGGTGTCGTGACCCGGATGGCTGTATCCAAAATCGACCCTATTCCCTCATACACTACTCTCTACATAACATGGTTGGAATGTGAAGTTAAACCACATTTTTCTGATGAAGTGTTAGCAAAAACTTGTGCAACAACAACAACACATTGCATCCCAAATAGCAAAGTAAACACTATGCACTTATGCACTATGAACTTATACACGTACACACTCAACAGCAAAGTATATGAATTTAGTGTCAGTTAAAAAGTTGCCGGTATTTGACTGAAAACATGTAAGCAATCTCTAAGATTAAATATAAGAAACTTTCTATAATACTACCATAGTCTTTGCAAATGAGTTTACAGCTGTTTTTTTTTTTTGGTGCCGTGACCCGGATGGTTGTATCTAAAATCCCACCTATACCCCCATTCACTATTCTCTACATAACAAGGTTGTAATGTGAACTTAAACCTCACTTTGTTGATAAAGCTTTAGCAAACACTTGTGCAACAGCAACACTACCACTGCATACCAAATGGCACACTATACACTATGCACTATATACTTATACACCTACACACTTAACAGCATAGTATACTGTATGAATTTAGAGATAATTAAAAAGTTGTCAATTTTTTGCTGAAATCACGTAAACAGCCCCTAAGTTATGACTTAAGATAAGAAACTTTCTATAATACTCCCCCTGGTCTTTGCAAATGAGTTCCCTACAGTTTTTGGTGCCGTGACCCGGATCGCTGTATCCAAAATTGACCCTATTCCCTCACAAACTACTCTCTACATAACATGGTTGTAGTGAAAAGTTAAACCACATTTTTCTGATGAAATGTCAGCAAAATCTTGTGCCACAATAACAACAACACTACCATTGCATCCCAAATGGCACATGCACTTATGCACTATGAACTTATACATTTACACGCTCAACAGCAAAGTATATGAATTTACAGTCGGTATAAAAAATTGCTGGTATTTGACTGAAAACATGTTAGCAATCTACATGTAAGTTAAGACCAAAGATAAGAAACTTTCTGTAATACTCCCCTAATCTTTGCATATGAGCTCCCAACAGTTATTGGTGCCGTGACCCGGATGACTATATCAAAAATCGTCCCCATTCTCTCATTCACTATTCTCTACATTAGTCCACTGAAATATACTCCACATATAGGTGTGATAGAAATTTCCTCAGAAACTCTATAAGAGGCAACATGAGAATACTGCTATTTAAAAAAAAATTTCATAAGGCGATTATTGCAGTTCATATTACAAGAAATTATTAATTTAGGTCATTTAATGCTTCTTTTAACTCCTAACTATGGATTTCCTGCAACCGTCTGCAAATGTTTTTGTGTCTATAAAGCAAAAGCAGCAAAGATCTCAGTTTCCACTGTTTATTTACATTTAATCTCATTGCTCCTATTATTAAAGATTTCAAAGAGATCTCTTTATATGACAAGCATGGGTTGTAAATCAAGTCTGATGAGATGTTTGGTGTGTGTGTCACCCCGGACAGTGATTTATTTATGTTCTCCACAGTCTGGATTTAATCTGACAGGATTTCAAGTGCCGCTTCCACAGTCAGAGTGGTTTCAGTAGTTTATGACGGCTGTAAAAGTTTATAAAAGCTTCTCTTTGATTCGTTAAATGTAGACAATTAAGAGTTTGACATATATCCACCATTTAAACGAGCCGTTCCAGCACATCAGTGTGACATCTTCGTCCTTGTCTGTAGAAAGGAAAAAGCTAGTTACATCTCTCCTGCATGTCAGTCCTAAGGAACTTTCGGGAAAATGTCTGAGCAAAATTTTCCTCTGGATTTTATGAAAAGCATCAAGTTTTTAACAGAAATGGACTTGACAGATATGTTTTTTTTTTTTTTTTGCATCCTTAAAGGGATAGTTCATCCAAAAAGGAGAAAGACCTGAACTACTAAAATGTATTTAACACTTTATTTATTAAGGTTTCATTGGTAATTGCAGCTTAGAGACGCCTCTCATGTGGAGAATGAATTCACATGCATTGCTCAGGTGTGAGTTTTTCACAGACTTCAACAAAGTGTCAAGATCTTGATGGTTCTGTGGATCTCGTCTATCAAATCCGAGCTTATTTTGTATTTTTTTATAGGATTCAGATCAGGTGATTGGCTGGGCCATTCTACATCTTGATTTTCTTTCTCTGAAAGCATTTGAGAGTCTCTTTGGCTGTGTTTTAGATCATTGTCTTGCTGAAATGTCCAGCCTGGTTTCATCTTCATCCTCCTGCTAATGTAGATGTTGGACTGAAGCAGCTGATATTCAGTTACACTGAGGAAGGGCAGAGGCTTGCTGAAGAACTACTGAGAGATTTCAGCTGCTGTCTGGACTTTCACTGATTTCTACACCTTCCTTTCTTCATGCGTTCAACACTTTTCCCTGCCTCATTTCATTTCATAACACAGAACTTCATTTGTAAACTAATTAGTTTAGCTTTGCTTGTATGGATTTATTTGTTTGCAACATCCAGTGATAATTTCAAGTCAACAGCACCTTTAGAAATATATATTTTTAGAAAAATGGTGACGTGTTCAATATGTATTTTCCCCGCTGTATATACTTTAAAAGCAGAACATGTATGTCAGCCGTGTTCTCTCATTTCTTGTCTAGCCAAGGCTAAGAAGGCGGCAGAGAAGGAAGCCAAAGCCAAGAAACCGAAGCCCACAAAAAAACCCAAACCAACAAAGAAACCAAAACCTCCAAAGGCCACCAAGAAGTCAAAGCCTCCAAAAGCCACCAAAAAGCCGAAAGCAGCGAAGCCAACAACACCAGCTAGAGAAACTAAACCGACCAAAAAGCCAACAATGGAGGAAGAGGAGGAGAAACTGCTGCTGGAGTTGGGATGGGACACATGTACGTATATACACAATCTATCAGCACATTGTTGTTTTTAGGGAGCTATTATGCGAAAATGACTTTTATAAGGGGTTTAAACACAGTTGTGTGGCAAGAGTGTGTGAATATAACCAGCTATTAATGGCAAAGATTTAATAATTCTATTATTTTGTAATCACACAAAACCGGCTGCAGGAACACTTTGATTGACATTCTCACATTGTACGCATCATCAGAGGGGGAAAGCCCCGCCCACTAGTGACAATCTCTCCCTCATTAGCATATGACGTTAGTCTTGTTTTTGAATCTGCTGCTATGCTGACACACAGGCATTTGTAGCTCCGCCCTCATTTGAAAAGAGCACAATCTCATTTGAATTTAAAGCGACAGTCACCAAAATGCCACAACTAGGATCAAAGCCTAAAAGGGGCTTACAAAACATTATTTGTGTGGGATTTTCAGCTGAAACTTCAGATACACACTCATAATAGACTTATTTTGTAAAAAGGGTCCCCTTTAAACGGAATGCTAATGTGGTTTTCTTTGCTTAATATTTCCAACAGTGTCACCAAAGGAGACAGAAATGGAGAAACCCATTGGCCCAGATCATGGTATGACAACATGTACAGTACGACACAGAAAATCAACTACGTCACAATACATGATAGAGCTGAAACGCATGAATACTTTCTCCAGTCATAATCCAACCAATCCATTAGGATCCATTTTAGTATGCAGAATTTCCAAAACTTTGGACTTTGAGTGGGTGTAATTATAGAGCAAGTCAATGGTAGATCGACTCCCTGAGGAGTGTAAACGCTGGCAGGAAACTCCTACAGATTTACATTAAAGAAGAGCAGAAGGAGATTTGAATGTGGAGGAAACACCAGCCAGAAATCTTGGTTATACTGTTGGGAGAAAATACAATCTTCATCTTTAATCCCATATAAACTCAATGAGATGTGAAACCAAACTAGCAGTATGGGTTTATTGTTGTTTATTGTTTACATTAACTCTGGAATGCTCTACATGATTTTTTTGCCCAAATTTGGGATGCGTAAAATTGAAAGTTGAGCAATTTCATGGAAAATTCCATATAATGTTCAGATTCGGCCCGGTATAAAACACACTGAGTGGGCTGCACCAGAAAGGATTAAACTAGATCTGTGTTTTAAATTAGGAAAAATGCTGGGTTGTTTTAACCCAATGTTGGGTCAAATATGGACACACCCAACCATTGGGTTAAAATTTGGTACTTACTATGTACTTGCATCAAAGTACTTACTGTGTTCTTAATGTATTTCAGAGCAATTCTGGTGGGATATGTGTAGGGTTCAGGACAGGTTTGGTTATAAAATAAGAAAACTGCGATAATAGGCGTAAATCAGGTTTTAAAAATTGCGTTGACATCTATTGGTAATTATACAAGGCTTGGAGCGTCTCCATATGACGCCTCAGGCTCAGGTACAGATTCTATAGGGAATCCCTGCACATCTAAATATGATCCTGAAGGGGTACCCTGTGCGTCCAAAACTGACGCCGAGGGTTCCTGACCAAGCGTCAATATATGACGAGTCGGGAGTGAGAACGTGTTGGTTTAAGGGTGAGTTAAGGTGTAAGGGATGGTCAACAGTTTAATTACAGATGTTATTACATGCAGGCATTTAATCAAGGTACAATGTAAAACATGTGTTTACTCAATAAGTACACTGTAAAACCCAACAGTCAAATTTGTCAAAGGAAATGAGTATAGTTAACTCAAAATTGACTGAAAGTTAATTCTACTGATTTGAAAAGTTTTGAACTCAGTGTTGAAGGTTCATTAAATAAGTTCACAGTACTCATATAGATTAGTTCTTTTAACTCAAATGGTTTGTAGCAATCGGTTTCCTCAAACGGTTTGAGTTGCCTTAACTTATTGGGTTTTAAAGTACTCAGTTGGTTTGTGTTTTATTTTTCATTTATTGGGTTTTACTCTGCTTAAATTGCTTCGTTTACTCAAATAGAGTAAGATCACAGGACTCATTAGGATTCTTTTTTTTTAACTCAAATGGTTTGTTGCAATCGGTTTCCTTAAATGGTTTGAGTTACCTTAACTTTTTGGGTTTTACAGTGTAACAAATGAATAATTTTGGTCCAAGTACATATTGGTTAAGGCCACCCAGTATAAAGTGGGACAAACATTTTTTTTATTTTAATTTAAATGGGTTTGTCCATATATGATAAACACAAGACTAACACAAGAGTGGAAACAATTATGAAAGATTAAGGAAGAATCAACAATTCAATCCCTGATTTTCTGCAACTTGGGACAAAAAAAGTGCATATTATGCAAATCAAGCGGCTGTTTTCTATTAAAATATTGCTAATCACAATATTTATTTTTATTTACTTTCCAACAGACATGCACAGCAAGAAAGACCCCACAACACCTCCATCAGTCAAAGAGCATATGCCGGATAACTGGGACAGCCGACGTATGTTTAAAGCAGCATCCATTACTCTGTCTTAAAGGAACACTTCACTTTTTTGAAAATAGTCTGATTTAAAAATTCCCCCAGAGTTGAACAGTTCGGTTTTACCATTTTTTAATCCATTCAGGCAATCTCCTTGCCTGGCAGGAGCACTTTTAGCTTAGCATCATTGAATCCAATTAGACCACTAGCATCTCGCTCAAAAAAGAAAAGAGTTTTGATAATTTTCCTATTTACAGCAGCAGACCCAACGATATTACGCAGCACCTGAAAATAGTCCCCAAACTTTTTTATTTTGAGTGAGATGCTAATGGTCTAATCCGATTTAATGATCTTTGCTAAGCTAAGCTCAAAGTGCTCCCACCAGACCCGGTGATCTCCTGAATGGATTAAAAAATGCACTGTAAAAAACGCCGGGTTCCACACAATTCATTCATGTTGTCCCAATACAAGTTGGTTAAGTTAACTTTTAACAAATTTATGTGGATCAAACATAAAAAAATTAAGTTGTCCCAAGGAATATGGATAGTTGAATGGATAGTTCAGCTAAAAATGTCAACACTGCCACCATTTACTCATCCACTTCTGTTCACTGGATGCCAATGGCAGCTGGTTTCCAACAGTTTTCAGAACATCTTGTTTTGTGTTCAAAAAAAAAAAAAAAAAAATCATGAATGTTTAGAACCATTTGAGTTTGAGTAAATAACGAGGACGTTTTCATTTTTAGGTGAACTATCCCTCATATTGGAAATTGGTTCTTTAGATTTTAGATAATTTTATTAGGTTAACCCTAACAGATAATCAGATTCTACTAATACTGCTACTAATAATACATTTTATCACCTGACAGATGAAATCCAAGAGCCTGACCTCATTCCTAAAGTCAAGCAGCCGTCCTCCACCGATGACCCGAGTATATACTTACCAATCCCAGGTAATCAAGTACATACGCTGACACTTCTAACCAAAACACACTTGCCCACTGACTTACAATGGTGAAGAATCTCCCATTCAAAAAACCATAGAGGTTTGGGAGTGGGCTCATTTAACTCAAGCAACCAATCGGTCTTTCAGGAATATTCTAAAACTGCACACCTTAGCAACCATTTAGAGCACCCTAGCAACTGATCTCATAGACTGCCATTATATCTTTATGCTGCAATATCATAGACTTTAAGCTGTCAATTGACTTCATAGCAACTAAACAGACTAACCTAGCAACCATTTAACAACAGCAACATCTCTACATCAGAACATCGTAGGGATTTGGATATTGGCTTGTTTCACTTGTGCTAGCAAAACGGGGCTTCCTGATTACTACACATGCTAACAGTAATTAGCAAACTGCTAATAACGATTATTTACATTCTAATAACCAGTGCAATAACATGCAAGAAATGCATAATATATATGAAAGAGTAATCAACAAATGGCAAAAACACTTATACTCATAGTATTTATTAGTAAATGTTATAATGTTTCGAACCATACTTTAGGAAAGTATATATTTACAACACTTTGTTAATGAATGCTACCTCATTATGTAGCATTATTGTACCTGTAATAAATACTGTAGTATACTAGTTTTTACTCCATTAAACTGTGATGCATTGTGGTATAATATACCCAAAACGTAACTACCGTATCACCACAACAGATTAATTCAAGTACATTACTATAGTATGGTTCAAAAAAAAGATGAGGTTTGAGACTAAATTAAACTGAATTTACATGCAAACATGTTCATGCAAGATTGCAAAACGTAAATAACTGCAATGATTATACCACCACTGCTGAAAAATCCAGCTTAAACCAGCCTAGGCTGGTTGGCTAGTTTTAGCTGGTGGACCAGCCTGGCTTTAGAGGGTTTTTGGCCATTTCCAGGCTGGTTTCCAGCCATTTCCAGCCTGGTTTTAGCTGGTCTGGCTGGAAAATGACCAGCTAAATCCAGCTAAAACCAGCTTGACCAGCCTGGTTTAAGCTGGACATAGCTGGTTTTGGCTGGGCTCTCAGCCTGGCTAGGCTGGTCAAGCTGATTTTAGCTGGTCATCTCCCAGCCTGACCAGCTAAGACCAGGCTGGAAATGGCTGGAAACCAGCCTGGAAGTGGCCAAAACCCCTCTAAAACCAGCCTGGTCGACTAGCTAAAACCAGCCAACCAGCCTAGGGTGGTTTAAGCTGTTTTTTTTTAGTAGGGACATAATATCCTCAAATCTTCTTTTCTGTCTAGAGGAAGCCACTACCACCCCTCGAACAATCGCCCCTTGGTACGAGGAATATGATTATGCCGACTGTACGTTTGCAAGATCTTCAATATTGGATCATAAATTGTCTCTGTTTTGATTGTATAGTATTGAACATGTATATTTGCTCTCTCTGAAACATCAGTGGCGGCAAAAAAGCAGGAGGAAGAGCTGGAAAAAGCAAGAAAGGCCAAAGAGGAGAAGGGTCTGTATATCTAATGAATCTTTTGTTAAGCTTTTATTTGATGCGCTCGGGTGGTCCGGATAAAATTAAATGTTTCTGCTTATATTTGTTTTAGAAAATGACAGAAATTTAAGGGATGGTTCACCCAAAAGTGAAATTTCCTTCATTATTTGCTCACTCTTTGCTAGTTTCAAACCTGTTTGTGTTTATTTCTTCTGTTGAACACAAAGGAAGATATTTGGAAGAATGTTGGAAACCTGTAATCACTGACTTCCATTGTATTTGTTTTTTCTACTAAGGAAGTCAATGGTTACAGGTTTTCAGCTTTCTGTAAAATATCTTCTGTTGTGTTCAACAGAATAAAGAAATTTATAAAGGTTTGAAACCACTTGAGGGTGTAAATGTCAGTAAATTTTCATTTTTAGGTGAACTGCCCCTTTAATTTAATCATATGCTTTAGCAAATGTAAATAATGTTGCATTGATAAAACAAACAAAACATTTTTAATATTTTCTTTGTTTTGATTAAGGTGAAATACAACCCCAAATCAGAAAAAGTTATAACAGTAAAGCATTTACCACTTTGTAATGCTGCCATTGCTTTTCACAACACTTAAAAGACATTTAGGTACTGGAGACACCAAGTGATGAAGTGTTTCAGGTGTCATTTTGTCTTCCTGCAAACAGCTCTAAGGTGTGCAACAGTAAGGGGTCTTCATTGTGCATTTTGTGCTTAAAAATGCATCACACATTCTCGATTGTAGACAGGTCAGGACTGCGGGCAGGCCAGTCAATATCTGTATCCTCTTCCTCCTGCAGCCACGACTTTGTAATGTCTGCTGAATGTGGTTTTGCAGTGTTTTGTTGAAATGTGCATGGGCGTCGAAGGGAGCAAATTGTGCTGCATAATCTCTACTGTTCAGCATTAATAGTGCATCACAGAAGTGCAAGTTACATTTGAGACTGGCTTTTGGACTTGTTGCTGGTAACAGTCTGGAAGATTCGTTTCTTCTGTGATCCAGAGCACATGACATCCATTTCTCCTCAAAAAAATCCTGAAATACTGATTTATCCGACCACAGTACATGTTTCCACTGTGTGATGGTCCATTCAGATGCCTCCAAGCCCAGAGAAGTTGACGGCGCTTCTGGACACTGTTAACATAGGGCTTCCTTTTGGCAAAGGATTGCCAAAGTAGTCCTGAGCCCATGTGGTGATATGCCTGATAGATGAATGTGGATTCTTGATACAGCGCCTCCTGAGGGGTCGGAGATCACGGTTGTTCAGCTCAGACTTGCATCCTTGTTCTTTACGCACTGAAATTCCTCCAGATTCCTTAAATCTTTTAATGATTTTCAGCACTGTTAAAGGTGAAATATCCAAATATCTTCCTCTCTTTCTTTAAGGAACACTGATTTTAAACATTTCAATCATTTTCTCCTGTATTTGTTGGCAAACTGGCGATCCTCGGCTCATCTTTGCTCCTAAAGGACTAGACCTTTCTTGGAGGCTGCTTTTGTACCAAATCATAATTACAATCACCTGCTGACATCACCTGTTTCAAATCACATCATCATTTAGACAATTTACCTGAGTCATGTTGTCTGCAATGAAATACAAGTCAAAGTAAATTTAGAAAGAACTGCTGTCTTTTTTATTTGATTTTCCATACTGTCCCAACCTTTTTTCTGACTTGGGGTTGTACAACCCAACATGATTTAGGGATTTACACAGAATGTCTTGATAATCACTCTGAAAATGTCTGGGTTATTTCAACCCAGGTGTGTAAAATATGGACTTTTAGGTCTTTCATTTTTGACCTAATTTGAGATATTCATTAAAAAAGAAGAGATTGAAAAACTGATTTAAAAAATATGAGGGGTAAATAATTTTGCACACTTCGCTCTAAGACATAGAGTCTTAGTTGTGCTGGCAATATTTAAATAGATTTACTGTGAATAATGCTAAAAAAAAAAACAAAAAACTAAATAAATAAATGACCTGCTTGAACAAGTCTCTCAGTATTACGCTCTGTCTGTCTATTCCCGTACACAGCAGAAAAACTGCGGAAGATGTGGGAAGAGGAGGAGGAGGAAAAGAGGAAGCAGACGGCTCTTCATGCCGAGCCAAAGAGTGAGTATTTCTGGAAAACAGCCACAAATTACTTCATAACCATAGACAGAAGCACACAGTCCCTTTCAGACGAGGCTGTTTATAAATGCAGAACAGCTTTTCTGGGAGTTCAGCAGTGTTGGGGAAAGGTAGTTTTGAAAGTTATTAATTACGACAACGTTTCTCAACTCCTGGAGGACCATCAACACTGCATGTTTTGGATGTCTTCTTTATCACACCCATTACAGATCTATTATTCTCTGCTAATGAGCTGAGGATCTGAATTAGGCGTGTTTGGATAATGAGACATGGAAAATGTACAGAGCTAGTGGTCCTCCAGAAACGTGGTTAAGAGACACTGCATTACGTTATTGAGTTACTCCGCAAAAAAAATAACTAATTGCATAGTTACTTTTTATGGTAAGTAAATGCGTTATGTTACTGCATTACTTTTCTTTGCCTTTGCTAAAGCCTGATCTTATCTGAATGATATTAAAGTGATGTTTACACCATTTCCAACGCAATCTCACGGCAATTTGTAACTTTTTCATTAAGTGGCTAATTCGTACGAATTCGTATGATCTAATTTGTACATTTTAGTACGATTTGCTCATCCCCCAAAGACGGTTGAGTTTAGGGGTGGGGTTAGGTGCCACACCTCCTTTTTAAAATCGTACAATTTCGTACGACTGAACTCGACTGAATTAGCCACTAAACTGGCAAAACGTAAAATACTTACGTTTTCTCGTGAAATCAGGCTGCCATTTCTGCATTTTGAAATCTCGGCAACAGCAGGAGGTTTATAGTCCGCAGCAGGGGTGTCCAAACTTTTTGGGCCGAGGGCCAGATGCAAAAAAAAAAAAAACGTTGTCCCGGGCCAAATTTTACATACATCACACAGACACGCATATATATATATATATATATATATATATATATATATATATATATATATGTGTGTGTGTGTGTGTGTGTGTGTGTGTGTGTGTGTGTGTGTGTATTATGGAATTATTTTAATTATTTCAACTGTGTTTCTAGAAAAACTTACGTTTTTAAAACCTTGAATCTTCTCTGGGCAAATTACAGTTGCAACACTCATCAGACACTCCTATATAAATTCTCCTTCAGTGAAGGGTTTCCTGTGCATAACTAGCCAGGGTAGAATTTTCTTGCACTTTATTAGCATGAAAAAACTGCTGTTGTTGAGCTGACAGGGCAGCTGCTAATTGTTTTACTTTTTGATCTCGTTCGGCACCAGTGTAAGAGCTGAAGGCCTGATGCTTTGTTTCATAATGTCTTTTAATATTATATTCCTTCATTACTGCAACTGATTCCTGGCAAATTAAACAGACAAATATTCTTTGCCCCAACGTGACTCAAATTTCCTGCTCTCACTGTTGATTTTTCTTTTTCTTGGTTGTGCCATGGCTTTCCAAAACGTGTTTATCAATTATGTTTCCTTCTGTTTGTTCGGTGCGGTGCGAACTGCTGCCTAATTGAAGGCATGTCATAGCGAAACCCGGTGGTTATTTATTAAATTACGTTCATTTTTGTATAGTGGGCCAGATTCTATTAATATTTATAAAAAGCCTCGCGGGCCGCCACAAAACTAATTTAGTTTGGACACCCCTGGTCCACAGCATGTTACTGCAATGTTTACAGTGCTGGTCCAATACTTTCAGGTTTCTTCCCACCGCAGCCTCGCTTTGGCGGCCGCGTGAAATGAGCGTATATGCCCCTGTCAATATCGGTGGATGGAGAAAACCACACCACTATGTCATGTTGCGGTGGGCCTCAAAATCAATGGGATTTGTATCTAGACTTAACAATATATATTTTTAAAAAGGACTTGATGTGTTTATACCACTCTAATGTGGCTGCGTTTACACACTACACTACACACACGTCTGCTCAAACTTCCAGAGGTTGATTTTGCTTGATAGGTGCCCTTTATTAGAATGGTTCACCCAAAAATTCAGCCTTCAGAATAACTTCTTTTGTGTTCAGCAGAAAGGAGAAACTTCATTGAAACTACATGAATGATCAGGAAATGTTCCTTTATTTTAGGGTGAGCCGTCCCTTTAAGTGCATTCAAATGTGTTTCTCGTCTTTCAGAGTGTCCTCCTCTTGGACTGGAGTCCCATCGAGTGGAGGATGATCAGATTCTGGCGTCTTCTTCATCTAATCTTGGTTATTCAGCTCTGAGAGGACGGCTCAACATGCAGGTTCATACAATCAAGCTACAAACGCCCATGCGTCACCAGAGTGAGATCCAAAACAGGACTTATCTTTGGGAAAAACTGAAAGGGCTCTATTTTGACGGTCCATGCGCAGAGCGCAAAACGCAGGGCGCAAACTCTTTCAGGGTGTGTCAGGACGCGTTTTTGCTAATTTAAGGACGGGAAATCTGCCTTGCACTGTGGTGCGTGGTCTAAAAGGGTTGAGTTTATTTTCTTAACGAGTTATAGGTGTGTTTTGAGAATTAACCAATTAGAGTCTCATGTACCATTCCCTTTAAGAGTCAGCTGCGTCGCGCCAAGAGCGCATTCGCTATTTACAGGACGCAAAGTCTAAGTGGAAAAAAATAGCATTTCACAAGCAAACAGTTCACAGTGTTTTTTTACAGAAAACTGTTAAACAGAGCATCTACTGCGTGAGAATGAGAGATAATGGATCTACTTTCACTTTCGCTCTTGGATAGGGAAACCTTTACACACAGACATCAAATAGTCTATAAATAAATAATTTAGTTTGCTAAGCGCAAATATTCATTTCAAAACTATTTCTAAATTCAGTTCTAATTTCCAGCAAACGAATAAATGAATAATAAAAACAAAATGTGCTCAAAAACCTGAGTTATATCCTAAAACACATGCTGTGCCCCATATGGTCTAAAACCTGACAGGTGGGCAAATCTAAGCTTGTTTTTAATAAAACAAATATAAATATGGATATAATAAAAAATACTGCTAATAATAATAACATTACACAAAAGCAAATTGTTATGAATGAACTGAAAAAGCCTCCCGAGATGAAGAAGACATAAAAGCAGTGATTTTTCATATTTATGTCGGCTAGAAAATAATATGTTTTGTAATATTTTAATCCTTTATATTTATATTCTATATCTATTCTTATTATATCCTATATATATCCTTAATATTTAAATGTTTTCATATGTAAAGATATTTGCCTATTGCTCTCTTGTGTGTATTAAGCAGTGTGTAAGCGAGGCGCAACTCTGCGCTGGAGTTTAGACCGGGTTTGTTTTGGTCTAATGAAAATCTATTATAGTTTCTCAAAATAGCGACGCGTCAGCGGTCCGCCTCAGAACGCCTTCCTTTTTAGAGCAGAACGCCTATGGACGCACAAATGAGCGCTAATGCATTTGCTATTTAAACAGCGTAGCGCAACGCCTCAAAACCACTCTTGCGCCAAGCTGAAACTACCAAAAGACTACTGCGCCACGCCTTGCGCCACACTGCGCCGGGTGTATGATAGGGCCCAAAGTGTCTAGACAATCTAGTGTTCATTTGTGCTTCCTAAAACTGGACATTGATAATCCTCTTAGTCACCGACTTAGATTTTAGTGTTCATTAGGTCAAAGCTCTTGTGGTGGACGGCTGCTTCTCTCTCAGGGCTGTCTATGCTAATGAGGGAGAGATGGTCACTAGTGGGCGGGGCTTTCCTCCTCTGTTGACACGTACAAAGAGTGAATGCCAATCAAAGTGTTTCTCCAGGCTGTTTTTTTCAAGTGTGATAATAAAAAATGGAAGTAATTAATTTTTACCATTATGAGGTGGTTATAATCACAGACTGCTGCCACACAACTGTGTTTAAACCCCTTATACAAGCGATCTTTGCATAATAGGTCCCCGTTATGTGTACTAATATGTGTTTATAAAAATAAATGCACATATTTTGGTGCACTTACAGCATTTTGCAAAGTTTTGTTCCTTATTTTAAGGATTTTTAAAAATTATAAGTATGGTTCAACATGGACAGAAACAGGAATCTTAAAGTAAACATCTGTTTTGCAGAATTCGGCTGATGAGGAGGATGTTTACGGTGGAGCGTGGTGCGCTGATACGGAGGAGAAGGAGCACTGGTTTCAGGTGGACGGCCGACGAGAGGTGGAGTTTACCGGTGTAATCACACAGGGCAGAAACTCAGAGTCAAAGTAAGTCAACCATCAAAACACTCACGTCGTTTTATAACAACACACGATGCAACAAGATAACATCAACAAGCAATTTGTCTCTCTGCACCAAAAGTGACACGACATGACAGAAACATTTAACCACTTAAACTCTGCTGCTATTTGGGGATTTCCGCCTGGATTTTGTCTACCCAAATTTAAAAGCTTCCCAAATCCACATGCAGAGGTGTAAATGCAAAAATGTGGTATCATTTTAAAGAAAACCCTTTGAATTTTCATAAAACACTATTGAAAGTGTTTAAAATAACTGTATATGTCGTCTGTGTTATAATAAACACCTAAAAAGGAGGCGCTTTTTGTATTATTATTTTTTATAAACTCTAATTTGAAAGTGTACCTTTTAGGTTGTGTGTGGTTTAGCGTGCTGTAATTAATGTTGGTGGTTCCTGCACATGTCTGTAATCATAGGAAAAAAGAGAAATGTCTCCACCATAATCTATGCTAAAGTTATTGTATTCCAACTGATGAGAGGTGCTGTACAAGCCACAGGGAGCGATCATTGTTTTCATATTTCACTATTCTTTTGTTTGATCAAACATAATTCACTGTGTTTGGACCACATCAGACATATAAAAGGATTACTTATGCACACCACCTCAAAAACAGAGGAGAATAGCCCTGAAGCGCACAGCATAAGGTAAGAGATGACAGCTGTCTGTGCTATCTGGGGCTGCTTATTGATCATAAATGTATTGTTTTCACTTCTGCGCCATGTAAACACCGCGATTCATTCAACAACTGTTTGGCATATGAATATAATTCAGTAAAAAGAATACTAGACCTGTATGAGCACCGGCAAGAGCTTTCATTTGAGCTATAACTTGTACATGTGTCATATAAAAAAATATGAAAATGAACCAGTGTAAAATACCCAGCTCGGGTAAACAAAATACTGTGTATTTAAGTGTAAATAACTTTTATACAGTAGAATAAAAACCAAAGTGATGCATATGTGCATAAAATATAGATTCTACACTTTCAAACGAAACCACTTACGGGGGTCTGGTGCAACGCTAGCCCTTTAAATCTAAAAGCGAAAGTTGACGCATAGCAGCCACTGCACTCCCAATGAAGTGTTACAGTCTTTTAAACTAATCAATACATATTAAACCTCTTTAGCATTATTAATAGGCTACTGAGTGACTGATGTTGGTTGGCACTAAACAATTTTGACTTTCATTTTCAAACTATAGGTTTTTAATATTCAAGATCTGAGGTGAATGTGCTGCTGCTTTCAGTAGTATGGCAATAAATGTCAGGTTTCCTGGTATTTAAGCTCACATTTTCAGCGTTTAACACTGAATAAAGCACATAATCTGTACCTGAAGTGATCAATATCATAGTAGTTTATGCTGTTTGTTCTTTTCCCGCAACATAAAGCGTTCCTAAAATAGCCGTTTTGCACTTTGCTGTCGCAGATGGTTTGGACAAAAGCTTCTTTTAACATGGAAAGGATACCTTTTGTCGTATGTTACGTGCCATACCGCGTGTAGTTAAGACAGGCTGTCATGGACAGCACTGAGACAAGGGGCCGCCTGTAACCTCAGCTCTTCCTTTCTTCCAGCAATGACTTTGTGTCCTCATTTTTCGTGGCCTTCAGTAACGACAGTCGTGAATGGACGGTTCTTCATGATGGTTATGCTGAGTGGGTCAGTACATTATACAACCTACTTTTCACATTTTTGTTATTTAAAATATTTCCCAAGTGCTGTTTAACAAAGAGAAGTTGGCTTTGCCATGGCGACTGTACTTAACATCTTACTAGTTATTTTGCTAGGTGCTAGTATTCTACTAGTGGTAGTTTTTAAGGAACTGAGTTTGTTCCTCGCCGCTGTCGCCACTGGCTTTCATGCTTTGGGATTTGTGGAGCTGCGCATGGATGGATTTGCTCGTCACTGTTCGGACTTTCAGCAGTGAAAATTAAACTATACTGAAGTGAACTAAACTGAACTTCAGCTCTGAAAACTGGACGGACATGGTTTCAGTTTATTACAACTTCTATGTAAAGCTGCTTTGACACAATTTACATTGTAAAAGCGCTATACAAATAAACATGAATTGAATTGAAATTAAATAATATTCAGCTCAAAGTGTTACCCTGATGAACGCAGTTGTTTGCCAAAATGCGTTGGCACAGTTTTAAGGAATAGTCAATAACAGCTTTTTAATATTATTTCCACAATTTTCAAGTGGCTTGGGCTGATTTTTGCTGTTTATTCTGATGAATCCCTTACCCAAAGAGTTGAACAGTTGGGTTTTACCATTTTTTTAATCCATCAAACCGATCTCCGGGCCTGGCGGGAGCACTTTTAACTTAACTTAGCATAGATCATTGATTCGGATTAGACCATTAGCATCTCACTCAAAAATAATCAAAGAGTTTCGATAATTGATTTGAGAGATATTGTAATGTGAAGGGGGACACTAACAAGGAAATGCCGATCCAAACGGAAAATGGTCAGGCAAGCAACAGTCAACCCAGGAGCAAACAGATGTATATGGGCAGTCCAGAGTCGTGGTCAATACACAGGCGAATGGTCAAAAGGCAGGCATGTCATAATGTTCACAGTGACAGTATAACAAGACTCAGCACAGGTGTGTGTGCACGTTAAACTCCTTGTAATCAGTCTTTGACAATCCTCCGGCTGTCTGTTTGCAATTAGTCAGGATCAGGAACTGGTGTGAGTGTGTGTGGTGCACGACTTTAACCTGTAGTCCATATACCAGCGCATTTGTAGTCCTTATAGTGATCTGCATGTTTACCAGCAATCTGCAGCTGGTGATCATAGCAGATATTTAATTGAGATAACTGATAATTGAGTTTTGATAATCCAATATATAAAGCTGAACTTTTCTGTACTTACTTTATGTGCTAAAACTTTAAAAAATGTCATTTTCAATTTCTATTTTTAAGAGCGGCGTAATATTATCATTTTGTATTAATCAGTTTTAGTGCACAATGTCACTACAGAAGAGTCGAGCTTTAAATAGGAAAATTATCGAAACTCTTCGGTCATTTATGATCCAGATGCTAATGGTCTAATCTGATTTAATTACTTATGCTAAGCTATGCTAAAAGTGACCCTGGAGATAAAACAAAAATACAACAGGCACATTAAACAGCACTTGGGTAATACTTAAAAAACAATTCAAATGTAACAGGAAAGCTAATAATTGTATATCCATCATGTACTCAGAATTATTCACCCTCCTGTGAATTTAATTTCTGTTTTAAATATTTCCCAAATGATGTTTAACAGAGCTGAATTTTTTCAGTGTTACCTATGATATTTTTTCTCCTGGAGAAAGTCTTATTTGTTTTATTTCGGCTAGAATAAAAGCAGTTTTTATTTTTTTTTATTCATTTTAAGGTCAATATTATTAGCCCCCTTAAGCAATTTTTTTCAATAGTCTACAGAACAAACCACTTGCCTGATTACCCTAACTTGCCTAATGACTCTAGTTAAGCCTTTAAGACTTAAGTGAAGTTTATTTCTAAACTAATTTCGAGAGGATCGCGTGCTTATGATTTATCACAGCCGGTCTCGTATTAGCTAATCATTACCTTCCAATCATATGAATCCTAAGCTACTATAAATACCCACAGTCTTCAGTCCACTTTATCATTGTTTGGATAAAAAAACCTTCCTCCCCATTCTCCTCCTTTACCATAGATCGGGCGGCATGGCGGCCCAGTGATTAGCACTGTTAGCCCCACAGCAAGAACACCACCTGCTCTGGTCCTGCCAGGCCGGTTGTTTCTGTGAGGAGTTTGTATATTCTCCTCTTGTGCGTGTGGTTTTTTCCCGGGTTCTCCAGTCTAGCCCCTTTTTTTCTCACGTGTTTCCTTAGCTACTGCAGCCGGGGAGTTCTGAGATCCACCGAGCTCAAGCTCTCCTCTCGCTCTGCGAACGGGAGGAAGCCCCAGGCTCGAGGATCCCTTGTGCTCAGGGCTCTCTCCCAGGACAGCATGCCAAACAAGCTTTTGATAGATCATCAGTTAAATGTGAACTCTTGAGATTTCACTTTAAGCCGAATACTAGTAATTAGAAATGAGAAATTAAAACTATTATATTTAGAAATCTTCTGGAAAAAAATCTCTGTTTAACAGAAATTGGGTAAAAAATATAGAGGAAGGCGAATAATTTAACTGTACATGCATGCAGTAAAACGTGCAATAATGAGATTCTGACTTGCTTTAAATTCTCCTGCAGCTCTTTTATGGGAATGTGGATAAAGACACTCCAGTAATGACGGAGTTCTCGTATCCGGTGGTTGCGCGGTACATCCGTGTGCTGCCGCAGAGCTGGAACGGGAGTCTGTGCATGAGGCTGGAGGTACTCGGCTGCCAGTTACCCAGTAAGCATTGCAGAGTCGCACAGATTTATCATTATTATATTATTTTATACGACCTATTCATATGACATGATATTTGTTACAGTACATGATATTGACTCACTAAAGCTGTCTGCTTTTTTGTCATTTCAATATTGAAAATAAAAGAAAACTAAAGAAACATGATAAGTCACAATGACAATAATCTAAATTCTGACAATTATAGATAATCACGTAAAATCTTTATAATGATATGTCACTTTATAATGTCACTATTAGGTCATAAAGGTCATATTAGGTCATAAATTTAACCTTAAAGTCATAAAAAGGTAAAATAACAAACGTTTAAACCAAAATTTAGACCTTCATTAAAATTTGTTCTCACAATTTAGACTTCATATTTAGGATATTTAAAGTCTATTTTGGCTTTTAATCTCAATCCAGTCACATAAGTTTCAACAATTTATGCATGTCATAATTTTGACCTTGATTTTTGTTTTCATTATCCTTTAATCTCATATTAATAAGTCAATTTGAGACTTTGTGATCACATCATTTCAACTTTTCTTATACTTTAAATTTTTTATTTCATAATCTTGAGATTACCCCCAATTTTCGTAATGATTTTTTAACTGAATTCTGACTTTTTATGTCATTATGACATTCAATGCATGCCATAATTTTGATTACTACATAAGTATTCATATTGTCGTATAACTTTGACATCTAGAAATTATTTATTTCATAATTCTAACTATTTACATCATGAAAATGACAATTGAATATGTCAATATGCAGCTTTTTATTCTCATTATTTCAACTTATTCAAAGTTAGATATAACTGAACCCAAATTATCATAATTTAGACAAATTTTATGTCTCAAAAACGAGACCTTATCTCTTTTAAATAAAATTATTGTTTTTTTTTTTAAATCTTATAATTATGATTATTTAATAATTAAATAATTCTGTTTGTTTTGAGTGTGTTTGGCAGAAATAAACCTCCAAATACAAGTCAAATAATGAAAAACTATTTTATTTCTTATTTTGTAACGCCTTAATTGTTGGCGTCTGATATTAGTGATGTTAGATTTTTAAAAAACATTGACAAAATATGTATAATATGCATTTATCTCCTAATTTTCAAGTGTAATTTTAATTTTGAGGGTGACAATACACTGTTGACGATTTTTGTAAATTACACCGTATTTAACTGTAATATGAACTGTATTTTACTGTAGGACACTAATGCGGTACGTTACTGTATTTTAAAGTTGCAATGACTGTATATATAAAAAATCACTGTATATTTTACAGTAAAGATATACAATACTGTAAATACGTAATACAAAATAAATGGTGCTGTAAGTGTATTACAGTATTTTTGCTGTAATTGATTTAAAGTTGATTTTGAAATGTTAACAGTGAAGCACTTTGTAATAATATTTTGCCACATAAGTCTCATTATAGCTCATATGAGTCTCCTTTACAGCTAGTTATGCAACTGAGAATGACGTTCCACCAACAGATGATCTGGATTACAGGCATCACAACTATAAAGAGATGAGACAGGTGAGAGTTTGCAGGTATTCTCTAAAGCTGCTGCGGTAAAAATGGCATCACAACACATCCAGCATCACATTTGGACTCAACTTTGTTAATTTTTTTGCTGTTAAATTGAAGAGTTTTCATGTTTGTGTGTGCGTATAACCAGATGATGAAGGTGATCAATGAGGAATGCCCTAATATCACCAGAATTTATAACATCGGGAAAAGCTTTCAAGGGCTGAAGATGTACGCCATGGAGATCTCAGACAACCCTGGAGAACACGAGCCAGGTAGACTACAATTTGGCTAATAATTTTGACCTTAAAATGGCTTTTAAAAAAAATTAAAAACTGCTTTTATTCTAGCTGAAATAAAACAAATAAGACAGAAATACTGTGAAAATTTCCTTGCCCTGTTAAACATCATTTGGGAAATATTTAAAAAAGAAAAAACAAATCAAAGGGGAGCTAATAATTCTGACTTCAACATATTCAGAAATCTCTCCTGGTTTTAAAAGGTGAACCAGAATTCAGGTACACGGCAGGGCTTCATGGGAACGAGGTGCTGGGCCGGGAGCTTCTGCTGCTCCTCATGCAGTTCATCTGCAAAGAATACAATGACGACAACCCGAGAGTGCACCGCCTGGTGGAAACGGTGCGAATTCATCTGGTGCCATCGCTAAACCCTGACGCCTATGAGCTGGCATACGAGATGGTACGACAAACTTTCAGACCAATAATACCAACTAAGGCTCAGTGGAAATACATGTTCAGCCTACATTTTTGCGAAACGTGTTGCTCCAGATTATTGCACATTTCAGATGACAAATCCACTAGAGGGCGCTACATTTTTGCGTAATCTGACGAACTTTAATTAGGGTACGTTTTGTTGTACACTGCATAAAACGCTGGGTTCCACTCAACTCTTACATGCTGTCCCATCACAAATCAGTCAAGTTAACATCATTGTTTTATGTTCAATCGATTGAGTTGTCGCCAAAAAGCCTTAAGCAGTTGCTTCAAATTATTTTTAAAAAGTAGTTTAAACAAGCAGTAATTTTTTTGATTGTGCATTTTAGATAAACATCCTTCATGTACACAGCCATGAGAAGGCGTAGCTTGTTGTAGAGATCAGTTAGCGACAACACAGGCTCATTGTGGAAACGTAGTCCCGCGGACGTTTCTGGAGACTGCGGAATACGTCCCGGCGGGTACGTACAGCTGCAGTTTTTGTTTTCGCGAATCCGCGAGTGCAGTTCGCGCCCGCGCTGTTCTCGCGTGAATCCACCAGAGGCTTCTGTCCGACTGACCGGATGATTGACTGCACGACTGGCCAATCGGCTGACCCGTCCTCCTCCTTCCCTGAATCCAACCAATTTTACCGATTGACCCGCCCGCCCGCTCGTTTTCTTAAATGCGAGCAACAGTTTACAAAAGCAGTCCAAAAAAAGAAAAGCCCTGATTTTATTTTTTTTTCTACCGCGTTTTCGGATTTCACCGCGTTCTCACCCTGTTACGAAACTCGTTCACTTAATTTTTGGGATTCTGTTTTTGTCTTACCTGATTGCTGGAACCGCTCTTCCCCGGACTCGAAACCGATCGCCATGGTCAACTCCTCTCTGCATCTCGAGCCTGCCGACGTACACGGTGAGCTGAGTGGACAAACGGGTTGCAGCGGGGAAGCCCTCCACAAGGAGGTAAGCGGTCGGCCGGTCGGCCGGCAAGAGCGAAAGGGAACAGCGTCACACCGCCCCGCAGCGTTCGCTTGAAAAAAATAAATGCAGCCGTACGTACCTCCCGGGACGTATTCCGCTGTCTCCAGAAACATCCGCGGGACTACGTTTTCAGAATGAGTTTGGGTTGGTTAGCGAACCACTCACCTAAACCCAACCAATAATGTTTCCAAAAATAAACATAAGAGAAAAGTGCCCTTCCAGCTGCAACCCATCACTGGGAAACACCCATACACTCTCATTCAAACCAGCGACTTCTTAATGTGAGGCGGCAGCACTACCTACTGCGCCACCTCGTCACCCCATGTCAACAATATGTACTTGTAAATGTCATTAATGTGAATAGAAACAACAAAATTTGTCGTCACACTGCCCCCTAGTGTTCACTTTATTTAGAAACTGCAGTTAAACTAATTTTAAGTATGTTTTTTGCATGTTTACAAAAATATAGGCTGTAGTAATGGGAAGTTCAGATCTTTTTACAGAGTTTTTTCAAGTAATTTCGTTAAATTTGACAAAATATTATTAAAATGTCACGAGTTGCTTCAAAACACATCAACAACTAGCCCAAACATTGATCACACAACAAACAGCTCATAACTAGAATGCTATAAGAAAGATAAAATAATCATTGAATGTTTACCTGGATATTTTGTCTGTCTCAGCTCTTCAGATGAGTCTTCAAGTTTGAGTCGTTTGTTTAAGTGACACACACAGTCCCGTATAAGCTTAACCAATGCACACTGTCCAAACCAGAAGGATTTGTTCACCTTTCCAGTCTTCGAGTTTTTGAGTCGCTCGTTCATCGCGTAAAGAGAAGAATGACTCAGGATCAAATCTTTTTCTGGCTCTGACTGCATGTTTCCCAGTACTGGGTTGCAGCTGGAAGGGAATTCACTGCATCAAACATATTCTGGATAAGTTGGCGGTTCATTACGCTGTGGCGACCCCAGATTAATAAAGGGACTAAGCCGAAAAGAAAATGAATGAATGACTGCATATGATTGGGTCATGTCTTTCACATGTGAACGAACCATGCGCGAATGAACAAATCACTCTCTCTGATGACTGATCATTCCTGAGTCACATTAAAGATTCATTCAAAATGAATTAATCAATCAAGAAAAACTGAATAGAAGCAGGTATTTCCAGTGAGTCTCTGTTGAATAATCCGTTCTCTATTCTGTTTCATCGCCTGATTCATAATTGATCTGATTTTATCTGGTTGTTCAGGGATCTGAGATGGGAAACTGGGCTTTGGGACACTGGACAGAGGAGGGGTACGACATTTTCCAGAATTTCCCAGACCTGAACAGTGTTCTGTGGGGTGCGGAGGACAGAGGATGGGTGCCGCGGATCGTTCCCAATCACCACATTCCCATCCCTGAGAACTTTCTCAATGGCTCTGTGAGTCAAGCTGAAGAGTCCATGTGGACACGTTCATTCTGTCTTCAGGATGTTTTACTGGATCTACATTTTTTGGTTCTGTGTTTGTATGTATTTTCACCTTAAGCAAAGCTGAATTTGCAACAAAATAAAGGCCAAAGTATCAGGAAAATAAACCAAAGCTGATATCTTGGAAATGTCGTAGGCTATTTCCTGTTTAGTAGACATGCATGACTTCTTCATGTATGAACAATTTGCTTGTAGTCACAGAAAATCCTCCATACTTTTATCTATCAGTGTTTAATTTCTGAAACATATCTGTCCTCAGGTGGCGACTGAAACTAAAGCCATCATCAGCTGGATGGAGAGGACGCCGTTTGTTTTAGGCGCGAATCTGCAGGGCGGAGAGAAGCTGGTGGCGTACCCATTCGACATGCAACGTCCACCGCGGGCCACGAGCACGGACGGACGGGTCGGTCAGCCGGTGCAGGAGTACCACAACATGAACGAGGAGACCTGGGCTCGGATTCAGCGGCAGAACGAAGGCGCTCTCCGCGAAACAGCGGATGAAAACCTGTTCCGGTGGCTCGCCACGACGTATGCACACAGTCACCTCACCTTGACGGAAAACCACCGCGGGTCCTGCCATACCGATGACATCACCGGCGGACAGGGCATCATCAACCGCGCCAGCTGGAAACCAGTTGTGGGCAGTAAGTGATGATAACTGGAAAGAAATTGTGAATCTACTTTGCTATTTCTGTGCAGAATTTTGTAAAATGAAAACGTTTAATTGGACTCAGTGTGAAAGGTTTGTGTACGGGACAAATGTTTTGGAAATGAATGTGGAAAAAAACACAAAGAAAATTTTGGATTTTAGTGTGGAAAGACTCTTTATACTAGCATAGTTGAATATTTCAGATCATCCCTTAACATGATTTCTGGAGGCAGGGCCGGCGCGTCCATAGAGGTGACCTAGGTGGCTGCCTGGGGCAGCAGTATAGAGAGGGCAGCGTCCGCGACACCTCCCTTACCACCCGCGTACCCGCGTCCTCAGTTATGTCCACGACACCTCCTTCACCACCCGCGTCCTCAGATATATTGCGTCCGGCAGAATAGAGAGGGCAGCGTCCGAGACACCTCCCTCCCTCAGCACCCGCGCGTCCTCAGTTATATTCGCAATTAGGGCGGCAGAATAGAGAGGGCAGCATCCGCGACACCTCCCTCCATCCCTCAGCACCCTCGCACCCTTAGTTATATTCGCGCATAGGGCGGCAGAATAGAGAGGGCTGCGGCCGCGACACCTCACTCCCTCCCTCCCCCAGCACATCCTCAGTTATATAGGGCCGCAGAATAGAGAGGGCAGCGTCCGCGACACCTCCCTGCCTCCCTCCCTCCCCCAGCACCCGCACGTCCTCAGTTATATAGGGCGGCAGAAAAGCGAGGGCAGCGTCCGCGATACCTCCCTCCCTCAGTACCCGCTCGTCCTCAGTTATATCCGCGCATAGGGCGGCAGAATAGCAAGGGCAGCATCCATGACACTTCCCTCCCTCCCCCAGCACCCGCACGTACTCAGTTATATAGGGCCGCAGAATAGAGAGGGCAGCGTCCGCGACACCTCCCTCCCTCAGCACCCGCTCGTCCTCAGTTATATCCGCGCATAGGGCGGCAGAATAGCGAGGGCAGCATCCACGACACCTCCCTCCCTCCTTCAGCACCCACGCGTCCTCAGTTATATCCACGCATAGGGCAGCAGAATAGAGAGGGCAGCATCCACGACACCTCCCTCCCTCCCCCAGCACCCGCATGTCCTCAGTTATATAGGGCCGCAGAATAGAGAGGGCAGCGTCCGCGTCACCTCCCTCCCTCCCTCCCCCAGCACGTCCTCAGTTATATAGGGCCGCAGAATAGAGAGGGCAGCGTCCGCGATACCTCCCTCCCTCAGCACCCACGCGTCCTCAGTTATATTCCCACATAGGGCGGCAGAATAGCGAGGGCAGCATCCACGACACCTCCCTCCCTCCGTCAGCACCCACGCGTCCTCAGGTATATCCCCACATAGGGCGGCAGAATAGAGAGGGCAGCGTCCGCGACACCTCCCTCCTTCCCTCAGCACCTGCGCGTCCTCAGTTATATCCGCGCAAAGGGCGGCAGAATAGAGGTCCGCGACACCTCCCTTATGCCGCCCTTTCTATTCTGTCGCCAATCCGCGAATATAACCGAGGACGCGGGTGGTGAGGGAGGTGTCGCGGACATAATTGAGGACGCGGGTGGTAAGGGAGTTGTCGCGGACGCCGCCCTCTGTATACTGCCGCCCTAGGCGGCCGCCTAGGTCGCCTCTATGGACATGTCGGCCCTGCCCATGGCGCCTGCCTTGCGCATAGTCGCACAGTTATAGTTCTGCATGCTGTTTGTGTTGCTCTGCAATATCATTCCCCAGACGCTAGCTGGCAGTAGGTTTTCATGTTCGTCTGTGTCGAGTTTCTTTGCAGGTGTTCAGACATCTGCCGCATATGCATAGAGACTCCTGGATACCCGTAAACGAATAATAATCTCCTGGAAATCCTAAAATACATTGCAGCCCCCCACCACCACCCCTAATTGTCTACAAGAACAAACCATTAATATACAATGACCTGCCTAATTACCCTGTCCTGCCTAATTACCCTAGTTAAGCCTTTAAATGTCACTTTAAGCTGAATACTAGTATCTTGTAAAATATCTAGTCAAATATATTATATACTGTCATCATGGCAAAAATAAATTAAATCAGTTATTAGAAATGAATTATTAAAACTATTATGTTTAGAAATGTGTTGAAAAAATCTCTCAAGAAAATGGGGGGGGGGTATACAGGGGGGCTAATAATTCTGACTTCAACTGTAAATCTGTCAACTTTATGCAATTGTATTTGTCTGTGTTGCTTTAGGCATGAACGACTTCAGCTACCTGCACACCAACTGCTTCGAGATTTCCATCTTTCTTGGGTGCGATAAGTTTCCCCATGAGAGTGAATTGCCGTCGGAGTGGGAAAACAACCGTGAGGCGCTGCTGGCTTTCATCGAGCAGGTCACAAAACAAATACAGCTCCTATATCTGTCACAGACATTTGATAAATGCACATTGACTATCAACAATGTTGAATGCAACAAAAAAGCTTTTCCTTCTGTCCTGCAGGTGCATCGAGGCATTAAAGGGGTTGTGAGAGACGTCGATGGGAATCTTCTGGCAAATGCCACAGTGTCAGTGGAGGGAATCAAACATGACGTCAAAACAGGTAACAGATCCTAATATATTCCAAAGGAATCGTTTATATAGAAGCCTTCAGATTAAAACTCTAAAGAATTACTTTATTTTATTGTCATTTCAAGTGTCTGAAGTCAAAATGATTCGCCCTCTTGTGGATTTTTTCCAATATTTCCCAAATGATGTTTAACAGAGCAAGGAATTTTTCACAGTATTTCCATAATATTCTTTCCTCTGGAATTTTTTTCATTTCAGCTAGAATAAAAGCAGTTTTTAATTATGTAAAACCATTTTACGGTCAATAGTATTAGCCCCCTTAGGCTATATTTGTTTTTGATTGTCTACAGCAGTGGTTCCCAACCTTTTTTTTGTGCCTGCGACCCGCTCTTTCCCCAGAAAATATTGTAAGGCCCCCCTCCACATTTAAGGATATAATCGCTCATATAAAATTGCAGTAATGATGACAAAAAATGTTGTTTTCGAACAAACGGTATGTTTATTACATAGGTTGGCATGGATTATTTTTTAATCTAGATTAATCTAGATTAAAATAGCTCATTTGAATTCTGCCAAAGGCATTCAGAATATTTGTGCTACATAAATAATAAGTCTTTGAGAACGGGTTTCCTCAAGCCAGGTGGCGCATTAGACCAGGGGTTCATCTCCTGTTTCCAAAATGCATCACAAACTGCTTGAGAAACTGTTCTACTCTGATAATTGGTGATGAAAATAAATGATGTGCAATAAGATGTTCACTAACTGTTTATTTAGTTAAATATGAATGTTGAACTGTAGGCCTACATGGACAACATAAAATGAATCACACAATGATGTTTATTAACATATGATTTTACCGTTTAGTGCAGGGGTCACCAACCCTGTTCCTGCAGATCTACCTTCCTGCAGATTTTAGTTGCAACCCTGACCAAACACACCTGTTTGTAATTATCAAGTGCTGCTTTAGGTACTATTAATTGGTTCAGGTGTGTTTGATCAGGGTTGGGACTGAATTCTGCAGGAAGGTAGCTCTCCAGGAACAGGGTTGGTGACCCCTTGTTTAGTGTATATTTGTAATCTAAACCTATTTTTTTCCTAAAGCTTCCACTGGTGATTACTGGCGTCTCCTCAACCCAGGCGAGTATCGCGTAACAGCGCGAGCGGATGGTTACTCCTCTCAGACGCGTCTTTGCATTGTCGGCTATGATGCCAACGCAACACCCTGCAGTTTCACCTTGACCAAATCTAACTGGGCTCGTATCCAGCAAATCTTGGCTCAAAGCGGAAAGAGACCAAGACTGGTTAACAACATCCCTCGAAACGCCAACAACCAAGTCAATGGTGGAAGCACAGGGCCCGCCGGTGGCTCCCAAAACGAACGTTTGAACCGCATACGACTGATGCGCATGAGGAAACTGCGGATGGAGAGGATGAAAAGCAGCACAACTACAGAAATGACCACCTCAACAACCACAACCACACCTGAACCCACAACAACAACAACACTGGGGTCAACAAGTGAATCTTGGTATGACTGGTTTGAACAGGAGAGCTTTAACTTTGAGCACACAATAGATGAAGATTAGAGAAGAATCACCAGACGTTTACATACACTGTATAAAAAGCCACATAACCATTTAAAAAAGAAAAGAGATGTTAATGTGACTCAACGTTTTCTCTTTTAGGTAAGTTAGGATTATCACATGTGTTTCTGTTCTGCTTAATAGCAGAATAATGAGAGAGATATTTGTTGAGAAATTGTTATAACTTTTCTTGAAAGTCAAATTTACACACAATAAGATTATTATGGCTCTTAAAAAGTTGAGATGATGGTGTCAAGGTTTTGTAAGTTTCTGATTGGCTAATCGACAACATTTGAGCTAATGTGAGGCACAACTGTAGAATAGTATTGAAGGAAAACCTCAAACACACTGCTTCCTTGTGTGACAACATGGGAAAATAAACAAGCCAGAATCAACAACAAAGCCAGATTACAGTTAGTTAAATTACACTGGGAAAAAGACTAATGTTTGGAGACATGTCCTGTGGTCTGATGGAACTAAGATTGAACTGTTTGGCCATAATGATCAGTGTTACATCTGGAGGACAAAGGGGAAAACTTACAAGCCTACAACACCATCCCAACTGTGAAGTATGGGGACGGCCGCATCATGTTGTGGGGCTGTTTTGCTGCAGGAGGGACTGGTCCACTTCACAGCATAGATGGCATCTTGAAGAAAGAACATTATGTAGAAATACTGAAGCAACTTCTCAAGACATCAGCCAGGAAATTACAACTTGGCCACAGATGGGTCTTCCAAACAGACCATGACCCTAAGCATACTGCCAAATTAGTTCAAATGTGCTTTGAGGACAATAGAGTGAATGTTTTAGAGTGGCCATCACAAAGCCCTGAGCTCAATCCTATTGACAATGTGTGGGCAGAGTTGAAAAAGCTTGTGCGAGCAAGACAGCCTACAAATCTGACTCAGTTACAGCAATTCTGTCAGGAGGAATGGGCCAAAATTCCTGCAAACTATTGTGAGAAGCTTGTGGAAGGATACCCAAAACATAACCAAAGTTATACAGTTTAAAAGCAAAGCTAAAAACATACCAAGGAAATGTGTGTAAACTTTCGACTGTCTAGAAATTAATAAAAAACATTCTCTCATTATTGTGGCATTTAGCAAATGTAAATCATTTAGGTAATCCTAACAGACCTAAAATAGTAAACGTTTAGTGATTTACCATCAGACATTTTTTTTAAAAATGGTTCTGTTCCTTTTTTTTAGAGTGTATGTAAACGTCTGGGTTTAACTGTATGTGGATCCTTAAAGCCCTTTTAAAGCTTTAAGGCTCGTAAGGGGATAGTTTACTCACAAAATGAAAATTTCTTTCTATTGTTGATCAAAAAAATTAGATATTTTGAAGAAATACCCATTCTGCTGATGGAAAAATATCTTGTTTTGTTCAACAGAAGCAAGAAAATGATCAAAGTTTAGAACAATTTTAGTAAATGTTGAGTTGTGAGCCATCCATAAATCGTAGATCATGCTCTCTGTGGAACAGAGTCTATCAGACAGAAATATTATATCTTATTTAATTCATGAATCCTGTTCACTAGATTTTGTTTTGTATTAAAAGGTGGTAAATGCCTGTCCTCAAGTTTCGTGCTTGTGCAAATATTATAATTGCACACTTTTTTCTAATAAAATGTGTCAATATCATTTTGTTAGCTCGTTTTCATTCATTACGCAGCAGATGCCCTTGCAGCTGCAACCTATTACTGGAAACACCCATACACACTCATTCACACACCATTCACACGGCCAACTTAGTTTATTTAGTACACCTATAGCGCATGTGTTTGCACTGTAGGGAAAACCGGAGGAAACCCACGCCAACACAGGGAGAACATGCAAACGCCACATAGAAATGCTAAGTGACCCAGCCGGGACTCGAACCAGCGACCTTCATGCTGTAAGGCGATATGAAATCAGTCAAGTTTGGTGAAGGAAAAATCATGGTTTGGGGTTACATTCTGTAGGGGGGTGTGCGAGAGATCTCCAGTGTGGATGGCAACATCAACAGCCTGAGGTATCAAGACATTTGTGCTGCCCATTACATTACAAACCACAGGAGAGGGACAATTCTCCAGCAGGATAGCGCTCCTTCTCAGACTTCAGCCTCCACATCAAAGCTCCTGGAAGCAAAGAAGGTCAAGCTGCTCCAGGATTGGCCAGCCCAGTCACCAGATGTGAACATTATTGAGCATGTCTAGGGTAAGATGGAGGCATTGAAGATGAATCCAAATAGTTTTGATGAACTCTGGGAGTCCTGCAGGAACACTTTCTTCTTCATTCCAGATGACTTTATTAATCAGTGATTTGAGTCAGTGCAGAGATGTATGGATGCAGTCCTCCAAGCTCATGATGGAGTCAGACACAATATTCATTCTGTCTCCACTGCAGCAGGACTTTATATTCTATACTGGACATTATTTCTGTTCAGTGATGAGACTTTAGTCTGAGCAAAGTCAGACCTTACTGTCCTAATGAAATCATTAAAAATCAAGGCATGATCATATTTTATTGTGGTATAATAAGTGTAATCTAGAGGCCTTTACCTTTCATATAAGCCACTTCTGATACCAAATGATCAACTAGAAGTCAACTTATTATTTGTTGTTCCTGAAATTTAGGCGATAATAGCTGTTGTCAGGTAGTGTATCAATCTTAAAATATTATATAGCTGTTTATTTGTAGACATGTTGCAAGAGAACACAAGTGTGTTTTAGGTGCACAACATCAGTTAATGGGAATGCCATCAGTTTACTAACATTTTCTAAATATTGCAAAAGGTTTGTGTAAACCTTTAATGGAAACCAGAATAGTAAAAAACAAGACAAATTCACTAATAGCAGAGACAGAGTTAAGCCATCATATAACATAAATGTTTATTAGCTAGTATTGTTGCTAGTATGTTGTAAACATTCATTCATTAATTTTCTTTTCGGCTTAGTCCTTTTATTAATCTGGGGTCGCCACGGCTTAATTAACTGCCAACTTATCCGGCACTTGTTTTACGCAGTGGATGCCCTTTCAGCTGCAACCGAAACCATTTACACTCATACACTATGGACAATTTAGCTCACCCAATTCACCTGTACCGCATGTCTTTGGACTGTGGGTGAAACCGGAGCACCCAGAGAAAACCCACGCGAACAGAGGGAGAACATGCAAACTCCACACAGAAACGCCAACTGAGCCAGCCGAGGCTCGAACCAACGACCTTCTTGCTGTGAGCCGATAGCACTACTTAAATCAAGCAAATAAAACAAAAGTAGACTACATTAACTTGCATGGGTAAACAAACAAATCAAATCTAGTTAAAAGAAATAGTCTTCTATACATTCCCGCCACAAAATTAAAAAAAAATTTAAAAGGTTATTGCAACCCTACTTGACCAAAGATCAGATGTGGCTGCAGAAGTATTAATCAGCTTTAACAGGGCAGGTTTTGAATGTCGATTACTTTTCGATTAATCGAAACTCCACATAGAAATGCCAACTGGCCCAGCCGGGACTCGAACCAGCGACCTTCTTGCTGTGAGGTGATCAAGTTTGGTGAAACTTTCTCAGATATATTAAAATAAGCAAATAAAACAGATGTAGTCTACATTAACTTGCATGGGTAAACAAACAAACCAAATCTTCTATACATTCCCGCCACTAAATTAAAAAAAATAAAAAAGGTTACTGCAACCTGAAAATGCAAGTAATTGAGCAAGAATTGCAAGATATAAACTTTATATCTCACAATTATGACTTAATAACTCACAAAAAAAAAAAAACAGCTTAAACCAGCCTAAATTTTTGCTGGTCGACCAGCCTGGTTTAAGAGGGGTTTAATTTGACCATTTCCATGATACTGCAGTATATAGATATTATAATGGCAGTCTATGAGATCACTTGCTAGCTAGAAAAATCCAGTTTAAACCAGCCTAGGCTGGTTGGCTGGTTTTAGCTGGTCAACCAGCCTGATTTTAGAGGGGTTTTGGCCACTTCCAGGCTGGTTTCCAGCCATTTCCAGTCTGGTCTTAGCTGGTCAGGCTGGAAAAAAACAAGCTAAAACCAGCTTGACCAGTCTGGTTTAAGCTGGACATAGCTGGTTTTGGCTGGGCTCCAAGCCTGCTAGACTGGTCAAGCTGGTTTTAGCTAGTCATCTCCCAAACTGACCAGCTAAAACCAGGCTGGAAATGTCCGGAAACCAGCCTGGAAATGGCCAAAGCCCCCTGTAAAACCAGGCTAGCTAAACCAGCCAACCACAGGCTGGTTTAAGCTGGATTTTTCAGCAGAGACATTTCACAATTCTGAAATAAAAAGTCGCAAAAACGCGTTTTATCATTATTCAGTCATGAAAACGTAGCTACTTAAAGAAGATGTAGCCTAATAAACATATATTTTCTAAATAAAAAAAATATATAACATTTTAAGTCAAATACAGGGAACTTGTTTGCTCTGTGTTGCCGTTCATAGACATGAATTAGCACAGTAGTACATGCAATTTCAGCATGGTTATTGTAGTTAAATTGTCAAGTCGAATGAATGCGGATTAGGAACTTTTTTTAAAGGAACTTTTATTTTCTCCATCTCCGCTTTCGTCCACATGAACTTGAGACTTTTGTTCTGGGCACGTCATCATCTTGTGCTTCTCATGGGTGTGTTATGAGGAGCTTTTATTTTGAAATGCCGCTTTCTGCCAGCTAGCAAGTTTCTGAAAAAATCCTCGGATAGTTGTGAGCTGATTAAATACCTTCTGTTGAACGTGGAGTATCCGGAATGCCAGTGAAATTGTAATATATCATACAAAATATTAATTAACAGCAGGGCAGAATCGTCGCTGTCGGCTGAAGCAAAATAAAAGTTATTCTGACCTGGTTAGATTAGCTGTTAGCGGATTAGCTTCAGTCTTGGCTGTTTTACACAGAAGCAGGTGAGAATGACATTTGCTCACTTATGTATATAATGTTTCATTTCACGGTGGTGAATCGGTTAAGGGTTGATTAAAATTCGTAAAGATTATTCTAGAGACATCGGTGTGTTTCAAGGCTAGCTCGGTGCTAAGCAGCTGTTATTCATCATCAGCCTGTTGAACTGCATTGAGTCATTTTCCAGAGAAATTACACTTCATTTTCAACCTCTTCATGATCTTCATCTAATGATTTCACGTCTTGGGATCCTTTCCAGAGCCACTTCGTGTGCTCATCTGCTATATGTGTATATATGGGTGTGGTGTAGTGTTTAATTAAATACATGGGCTGGTAACTAAAGGTTGACGCTTCCAAGGTTAGTATATTAGCTTTTTCGCACGGGTATAAATATGTCATGTTAATATGGTTTTTACATTTGCCAATTTCAGTTTAGTTATATTTGATTTTAGAATTTTATATTAACATATTTATGTATTCAATTATATGACGTTTCAGTTTTGTTTTTTGTTATTGTAGCATTTATAGATTAGCATTTATCGTGATTGTAATGTAGCATAGTTGCATATTAATTTCAATTACAATAATTTCAATTTGAACATCCTTTCATACACGAGTGAATAAAAAAAATTAAAAGCTTGAGATATTAAAATCCTAACTTACAAGACATGAAAGTATGATGAATTAACATATGGGTTAAAAATGAAATTGTAATATTTTGATGTGCTACCTTTTGACCTCGTTGCTTTTAGTTTCAGTTTTACTTTGGGAAAACAATCTTGCTCAGTTTAAAGCCCACAAGGGAATACAATTTTGCCATGCATCTTAGCAAAATGGCTGCTATATTGCTAAATTTGATCACATTTGAGTGATCATAATTTAATAACTAAATAATATATAATACAATTTTAATCACATAAATTAAAAGCAAAATAAAATATTAAGGTTAATTCAGGATAGGGCTGATTGATTAATCGAAAAGTAATTGAAATCGATATTCAGAACCTGCTCATTTAAGGCTGATTTAGACTTCTGCAGCCACTTTGCAGCCACATCTGATCTCTGGTCAAGTAGGATGATGGATCCATTCTTGAGCCTTACTTTGCACCACATTGTTGATGATTGGAAGCTCCGCCAGAGATGCCTTGAGACTGCATATTTTCCATTACATTAAAATTATTTTTTTACATTAAAGTATTTATTTACAGAAGATGCAAAAAAAATGCTCCGTTTAAAACATTATTTATTGGTAATAATCACATTGCGAAATCGATGCTGAAACAATATGTTGTGCAGTAATACCACGCACGCCTTTGTTTGTTGTGAATATGTGCCCCCTAGTGGTGAAAATAAAACACTTCAGCATTTATTTTAGAACAATGATGAATCGTTTGTGATTAATTTAAACAAATCTTAATCATTTATAGTATTCATGATAACTATGATTACTCTATAAATGTCATGCTCATAATAAATGCACTATTGCAGGTCTTGCCCAGAAACACTATGAAGCTCTACAGTCTCAGTGTCTTGCATAAAGGCTCAACGAAGGCCAACCTGCTGAAGGCGGCGTACGATCTGTCATCGTTCAGTTTCTTCCAGAGATCCAGGTACAACCTCAGGAATATCCTTTGGATATTTAACAGTATTCTTATGCAGATACTACAGCTTAAGATGATGACTGTACTTTGTTTTTGTTTTCCAGTGTACAGGAGTTTATGACATTCACCAGCGCCCTGATCGTCGAGCGTTCAGCATTAGGAAGTCGTGCGTCTGTCAAAGAACAAGGTCAGTGATAACATTATCAGGGTGAAGTCTTGACAAACTTTGGCCTGATTTGAGCTGTTGAGTTTACTTGTTGCTTGTGGAGGATGAAGAACTGGTTATTAGGTTTACTGTGCAATTACTGATCACCACAAAATCAGCTTATTAGGAAAAAGTACACTTTAGCATACTTATAAAGGAGCTGTATGTAAGATTTTTTTGTATGTAATAATCACTTTTTCATTGAATTTTAATGTAGAGTTAAATTGATTAAACGTGGTTCAAGTGTACTCCAGAATGCACAACCAAAAATTCTATTATTAATTACTCGCCCATATGTTCTTCCAAACCCCGGAGACCTTCATCTAACTTCAGAACACAAATTAAGATTTTTTGATGAAATCCAAGAGCTCCCTTATCCTCTAAAGACAGCAACATGAAATGTTTAATGTCCAGAAAGGTAGACACATTGTTTGAGAAATCAATTCTGATATTTTCTAAATGCATCACTACTCTTTTTAATGGATTCTGAGCAAGAGCTGTAGATTCGTCTGCTGTTTAAAAATTAGGCAAGAGCGCCATCTGCTGTTTAAAAACTAGCCTAGTGCATCGTCTGCTGTTTACAAACCAGCCTAGAGCTCCATCTGGCGTTTACAAACTAGCCTAGACCACCATCTGCTGTTAATAATTGGTTTAGACTGCCATCTGCTGTTAACAAACCAGCCTAGGGCGCCATCTGCTGTTTACAAACTAGCCTAGAGCGCCATCTGCTGTTAATAATTGGTCTAGACTGCCATCCGCTGTTAACAAACCAGCCTAGGGCGCCATCTGCTGTTTACAAACTAGCCTAGAGCGCCATCTGCTGTTAATAATTGGTCTAGACTGCCATCCGCTGTTAACAAACCAGCCTAGGGCGCCATCTGCTGTTTACAAACTAGCCTAGAGCGCCATCTGCTGTTAATAATTGGTGTAGACTGCCATCTGCTGTTAACAAACCAGCCAAGAGCGCCATCTGCTGTTCACAAACTAGCCTAGAGTGCCATCTGCTGTTAATAATTGGTCTAAACTGCCAGCCGCTGTTAACAAACAAGCCTAGGGCGCCATCTGCCGTTACAAACTAGCCTAGAGCGCCATCTGCTGTTAATAATTGGTTTAGACTGCCATCTGCTGTTAACAAACCAGCCTAGAGCGCCATCTGCTGTTTACAAACTAGCCTAGAGCACCATCTGCTGTTAATAATTGGTCTAGACTGCCATCCGCTGTTAACAAACCAGCCTAGGGCGCCATCTGCTGTTTACAAACTAGCCTAGAGCGCCATCTGCTGTTAATAATTGGTGTAGACTGCCATCTGCTGTTAACAAACCAGCCAAGAGCGCCATCTGCTGTTCACAAACTAGCCTAGAGTGCCATCTGCTGTTAATAATTGGTCTAGATTGCCATCTGCTGTTGACAAACTAGCCTAAAGCGCCATCTGCTGTTAATAATTGGTCTAGACTGCCATCTGCTGTTAACAAACCAGCCAAGAGCGCCATCTGCTGTTTACAAACTAGCCTAGAGCGCCATCTGCTGTTAATAATTGGTCTAGATTGCCATCTGCTGTTGACAAACCAGCCTAGAGCGCCATCTGCTGTTTACAAACTAGCCTAGAGCGCCATCTGCTGTTTACAAACTAGCCTAGAGCGCCATCTGCTGTTAATAATTGGTCTAGATTGCCATCTGCTGTTGACAAACCAGCCTAGAGCGCCATCTGCTGTTGACAAACCAGCCTAGAGCGCCATCTGCTGTTTACAAACTAGCCTAGAGCGCCATCTGCTGTTAATAATTGGTCTAGATTGCCATCTGCTGTTAACAAACCAGCCTAGAGCGCCATCTGCTGTTAACAAACCAGCCTAGAGCGCCATCTGCTGTTAACAAACCAGCCTAGAGCGCCATCTGCTGTTAAAAACTAGCTTAGAGCATCAAATACTGTTAAAGATTAGCCTAGAGCACCATCTGCTGTTAAGAAACTAGCCTAGAGCGCTGTCTGCTTTTTAAAAACGAGCCTAGAGTGCCGTCTGCTTTTCAAAGCTAGCATAGAGCGCTGTCTGCTGTTTAAAACTAGCCTAGAGCACCATCTGCTGTTAGGAAAGTAGTCTAGAGCACAGTGTGCTTTTTAAAAACTTACCTTGAGAGCTATCTGCTGTTAAAAACTAGTGTAGAGCGTTGTCTGCTGTTAAAAGCTAGTGTAGCTGCTTTAGTAACTTTTTTTAGTAACTAGAGCTGGAGCTGCTTTAGTAACTAACAACAAGCGTGTGAACTTCCTCTCCTCCTCCTCTTCTGTTACAAGCGGTATCGGAAGCTTAAAGTTGTGTAGCGCCATCTAACGTCAGGGAGTGATTTTGCATACTCTTCTGCTTGACGCCAGTGAAAATCGCTTGGGATTGAATGCGGAAAAAACGTCTCGTAAAACGCTGACGATAAACGCAAACGTAAATCGTCCTGTGTACGAGCCGTTACAAAATACATATTTTCAAAGAGTGGAGTAGATTAAATGATCAATAATGAAAATGAACTCTTTAATTATACCATTGCTGCATCTTATTTAGATAAAATAATATTGGCTGCGTCACAAACCGCATACTTCCATACTATACAGTACGCTAAAATCAGTATGCGAGCCGAGTAGTATGTCCGAATTCATAGAATTTGAAAATCAGTATGCGAGAAGTACCCGGATGACTTACTACTTCCGGCGAGATTCCGGAGTGCGCATCCCATGCACGCTGCGCTATCCCATGATGCCCCGAGAGCAAATTCATGAATGGGAGTAAAGTGACGCAATTCACGCAGGTACGTCATGTGACTATTCATACTGTATAGAACGTAATTTTCTAACAGCCGAGTAGTACGTTTAAATTCAAATGCAGTACCTACTAAGTAGTAGGCGGTTTCAGACGCAGCCATTATCTTATTTTTTATGTACTTAAGAGGTTTGAAGTATTCACACAGTTAAGTGATTGGATTTGGATCAAATATGCATTTGTGTGTGTGTTTTCCCTCTCCCTGTTAGAGTACTTGTGCCACGTGTACGTGCGGAATGACAATCTGGGTGGTGTTGTGATCGCGGACAGTGAATATCCCTCCCGAGTCTGCTTCACTTTACTGGACAAGGTGCGTCATGTTGACACTATCATTACAGTTTAATACAAATAACACCAGCAAGATGCATAACAGTTAGATAACATTCCACATGTAGTTATAGAATGAGCAGCTTCTAAAATACTCAGAGCAAAATTCTGCCATTATTGCTCCACTCTTTATTCACTCTTGGTGTATTATCTGTGTATTATTAAGATATTGGCTGTTTATTAATACTTGTAAAGCACATATTCTGCATGATCTTAGTTTACATCCTTAATCCAGTCTAACAGGTAAACTTGTGTACTACCTTCATAGCTATTAATAAGCAGAAAATAGGAAAAGTATTGAGCTGAAAGTCATAGTTGTTAGTTAATGAGAAATGTACTATCAAAAAGTTAATAATAATAATATAAATAATAATAATAAGTGACCATCATGATGTAAGATGTTGTTGTATTTTTAATGGATTACATGTATTAATTTTCTCTCCTAAACGGGTGTAGGTTCTGGATGAGTTCTCCAGACAGGTCAACAGTATAGACTGGCCTTCCGGGTCACCGGCGACCATTCAGTACACAGCCCTGGACAGTCATCTGGCTCGATACCAGGTGAGTTGTTACGACTAAAATATTGTGCAGATCAGTCACTGGCTGCCCACGAAACATTTTATTAACCCTTTATAGGACACTCATTGAAATAGTCATTGGAAAAACCCTGGAGTGTTAATAAGGGGGTTATATAATAGTTCACCCCAAAACAAAAATGTATTCCCTGTTTCCTGAGAATTCCCGAGAGTTTTTTCTGTTGAACACAAAAGAAGATATTTTGAAGAATGCTGAAAACCTGTAAGCATTGTACGGAGCCCCTAAAGTGACATGTGCAAAAATATAATACGGAAGACTTTTATGTGCGTACGCGATACATATGTGGTCCGCATTTGATATGTATGTCTATGTTGTGCGCACGATTTTTATATGCAGATTTTTATATCTCGTGCACATGCGATATGTTTGTCGTGGACACATGATACGTATGCTGTGCGCACATTTTACGTACTGTATGTCGTGTGCACATATGTATATTTATGTCGTGTGCACATTATATGTATTGTATGTCGTGCGCACATGTATATTTTTGTCGTGTGCACATGATGCACATATCGTGCACACGTGAAATTTATTTCTATGTTGTTCGGACGATTTTTATATCTATGTCATGCACATGCGATATGTTTGTTGTGCGCACATTATACGTACTGTATGTTGTGCGCACATGTATATTTATGTCATGCGCACATGATGCACATATTGTGCACACGTCAAATGTATGTATGTTGTACGCACGATTTTTATATCTATGTCATGCACATGCAATATGTTTGTCGTGCGCACATTATACGTACTGTATGTCGTGCGCACATGATGCACATATCGTGCACACATGAAATGTATGTCTATGTTGTACGCACGATTTTTATATCTGTCATGCACATGCGATATGTTTGTTGTGCGCACATTATACATACTGTATGTCGTGCACACATGATGCGCATATCGTGCACACGTGAAATGTATGTCTGTTGCGTTAACAATTTTTATATGCAGATTTTCACATTTATGTCGTGCACATGCGATGTTTGTCTTGCACACATGATACGTAGGCCGTGCGCACATTATACGTACTGTATGTCGTGCGCACATATAGATATTTATGTCGTGCGCACATGATTCGCCTATCGTGCACACGTGATATGTATGTCTACGCTGTGCGCACGATTTTTATATGCAGATTTTTATATCTGTTGTGCACATGCAATATGTTAATATGTTTGTCGTGCACACATGATACTTATGTCATGCGCACATTATACGTATGTCGTGCGCACATGATGCGCATATTGTGCACACGTGATATATATGTCTATGTTGTGTGCACAATACAAATGTCGTGCACAGGCAATATGCATGTCTGTCGTGCGCGTGCAACATGTATGTCTGTCTAAGTCTTGCGCACACAATATGTATGTTTTTGTTGTGCGCATGCAATATGTACAACTTTGTCATCCACAGATGGTACTTAAGTCATGCACATGCGATATGTATGTCTATGTCGTGCATATGTGATGCAAGTCATTATTATTATAATTTTTTTGCACATTTCACTTTAGGAGCTTCCATTGATTTCCATAGTAGGGAAAAACAAAAACAATGGATGCCAATGGTTACAGGTTTTCAGCATTTTTCGAAATATCTTAAGAAAAAACTCAGCTTTGGAAGAAGTGATGGAGAGTAATAATGGCAGAGTTTAATTTTTGGGGGAACTATCCCTTTAAAAGAATGCAAATTAATGTTGTAGTTAATGTCCATGCAGTTGACAGGTTAAATGACTTTATTTCCTGTCCTGCAGAATCCACGCGAGGCTGACGCCATGACCAAAGTGCAGGCAGAACTGGATGAAACCAAAATTATTTTGGTGAGCAAACAATCAAGTGAACTCAAGACTTTGTTGGTCATTAAAATCAGTGATACTCTCTGTATGAATGAGTGTGCTGTCGTAGATTCTTGTAACAGATTTCCACTTGTATTTGATTTGTTTCTTCAGCACAACACAATGGAGTCACTGCTGGAGAGAGGAGAGAAACTGGATGATTTAGTTCAGAAATCCGAACATCTGGGAAACCAGTCTAAAGCCTTTTATAAAACGGTCAGTCCATTAACATGCTTCCCATGGAAACAAATAATAATTTCACAATAGTCTGAATAATTTTGTCTTCTGTGTGTATTATTTGCAGATAATGTGGAATGAACTAAATACTTTTCGTCTCTATTTTAATGTTTACTTTTCATTTATCTGAATAAAACATTATATACAAGTTTTAGGAACAACAAATACTAACTTGACTTCTAGTTGATCATTTGATATCAGAAGGGGCTTATATGAAAGGCAAAACCCTCTAGATTACGCCACTATAAAATATGATGCCTTGATTTTTAATGATTTCATTAGGACAGTAAGGTCTGACTTTGCATGGTCTGACCATATGTATATATGTATATATATATATGTATGTATATATATGTATATATATGTATATATATATATATATATATATATATATATATATATATATATATATATATATATATATATATATATATGTATGTATGTATGTATATGTGTATATATATATATATATGTATATGTGTATGTGTATATATATATGTATATGTGTATATATATATATATATATATATATATATGTATATGTGTGTATATATATATATATATATATATATATATATATATATATATATATATATATGTATATGTGTGTATATATATATATGTATATGTGTATGTATATATATATATATATATATATATATACACACACACACACATATACATATATATATATATATACACACACACACACACACACACACACACACACACACACACACACACATATATATATATATATATATATATATATATATATATATATATACACACACACACACACACACACATATATATATATATATATATATATATATATATATATATATATAATACACACACACACACAAAACAAAAACAAGGCTCAAAAAAAGTGATGAAACAGCTGTAGTGCCTTAAAAATCCATCCATCAGCCACTTCTGTATAATTCAGGGAAAGTCTCAACATGCCTTTTTGTTCTCTATCTGATGCAGAACATTCTGGTAAAGTGTCCACATGCGCTTTTTAATCTGATGCAGTGTTTGTTTTCTTCACGTTCTAGGCAAGAAAGCAGAACTCGTGCTGCGAGATCATGTGATCACGACGAAGAATCTGATTGGACTGGACTCAGCCACCCTTTCCTCTCCGGTTTCCTCTACTTTCCCTCTCTTTCTCTCTCTCTCTGTCCTGGTGAGGGCTGATGCTTTCATCCTGCAAGCTGTCGTGCACAGCCCAAACCAGCGGCACACAGTAAAACAGGCTCAGAGTGGGGAGGGGGCTGATTTCCCATCATGCACCACATTTATCCGCCATCAGTTTATGTTGTTCATGTTGTGTGAGAACTCGGTTTTCTATTGGGCGTTCCTGGACGGTTCCTCAGGGTCTTGCACAAGCTCAAAACAGATGCGGATAAAAGCATAGAGGGGCTCGATTCTAACGTCCCCGCTGTGCCTTACTCTAGATGTGTTTCCCAAACATGTTCCCGAAGGCACACCAACAGTACTTATTGTGGATGTCCCCCTTATCAAACCCCTTCAGGTTTTGGAGTGTCTTCGGATGATTCAGGTGTGTTTGATTAGGGAGAGGATGAATATGTGCAGTGTTGGTGTGCCTTCAGGAACAGGGTTGGGAAACACTAGTTTATTTAGCCCTATCAACGGAGGACATGCGAGCGCTAATGCAGCGGTCTGTGTGTCTAGACTCATTATTCGGCTTTTCGGCAGTTTTGAAGCGCCTTGTAGAGTGAACATGTAGCGTGAAGTCTTTTTAAAATGTGAAATATTGATGTGTTCATAATGTGACTGACCAAATTTAATGTTTGTGTACACATATAATGCTTTTTTTCCTCTTGGAGATGTAAATAAATAATTGAATATGCTTTGGTTCACTACGTTTTTAATTCTATTTGGGTCTGAATAGACGCTGCCAGTCAAACGTTTGGATTTTTCATAATTCCGCTCACCAAAGCTGCATTTGTTTGAGAAAAATACAGTCAAAACTGTGAAATATTATTACATTTTTAAATACTTGCTTTCTTATTGAATGTTGTTTAAATTGTATTTATATCTGTGATTCAAGGCTGAATTTTCATCATGACTCCAGTCTTTAGTGTCGCATTATCCTTCTGAAATGATTATGATGTTATGACTTGCTGCTGCATTACGATCAGTTGTAATTGGTGAACAATTAATAATAACAACTCATACAATTCAAGTATGAGAGATGAAAACATTTAGTGTTGTTTCTTATTATTGTGTTTCATATTATTGTGGAAACTGTAGAATATTTTACTTTTAAGATTTTTTTTTACGGAAATATTTTACGGATTCTGCGCACGTTTTTTGCTATTTCTGATGAGAATTTTGGTAATAGTCTGCGTATTTCTGCTGAATTATTTTGGGAGTATCATAAATAAAACCGTAATATGAAAAAAAAATATATATATTTTAACTTTTATTTAATGTTTAAAATGCAAACCCAATTAAATTAAATTTATTTGGTAAATAAAGCAAGTTTGTCATATAATATATCTAGTAAAAGACAGAAAATATTACTTTACAAACTGCATTGCACATAAATCAGATGAACATTTTCACATTAGTCAAAAATATTACTGAAATAAATAAAAAAAAACTGAATAAATACAGATTTACACACATTTACTCCGCAGATTTCTGCGCGTGCAGATTCTGGGTGGGCCTAATGATAGCTTATTTAACATTAGAAATGTAATTACTTTCACTCTTGAACAATTTATTGTAATGAATAAAAATGTATTGGTCACACTTTACAATAAGGTTCATTATTTCATGTTAATTAATGCATTTACTAACATGAACAAACAATAAACCATACATTTACTACTGTATTTGTTCATCTTAGTTATTGAAATACAGTAGTTCATTGTTAGTTCATGTTAACTCACGGTGCATTAACTAATGTTAACAAGCATGGACTTGGATGTTAATAATGGATTAGTAAATGTTCAATTATGATTAATAAATGCTGTACATGTGTTTAGTTCATGTTAGTAAATGCATTATTTAATTGACCTTATTGTAAAGTGTTACCAATTTATTTTTATTAGTACTTTATTAGTACAATTCCCTTAAGGACGACACTGATAATAAATGTTTCTTCATGAGCAGATCATGATACTAATATATTTAAGTGTTATGTGACACTGAAGACTAATCATGCTTAAAAAATTCAGCTTTAAATCTTAATATTTCAAATTAAACAACGTTTAATAAAACAACAGTTCTTTAATAATCGCAGTAACATTTCACATTTTACTGTATTTTTAGTCAATAAATTAGAGCTGCATGATGCTGGAAAAATATGCGATGTTAAGTACTGCGATAACGATATTTCTTACGATATAACATTTCCCTAGATAAAATGCTATTATGTTTTTTAAATCATTTATTTACTATTTTTCTAATTCAGACTAAAAAACATTGTTTTATTGTCAGCCCCTGATTGGCTGTTTTTTTATTTTTCCTCTCGACTCAACCCAATAGTGTTTATTTTCAGCTACCGGCTAAACTTTGGGTTGCTCCAGCCAATAGCAGAACAGCAACTACTTGGGAGGCGGGGCTAAAAATAGTAATCCCATCTGATTGGTCTCATTTACATAAACAACCAATGCATTAAATAAATGTAATTTATCACACCGCTGTGATACATGTATTGCATAAAGCATTATCACGATATTTGCGATAAGTATTGTGATAAGGATATTTCTTATGATATTGTTTAGCCATTTTAATTGATTTATTTAATGATGTCACAACAAACTGGTAAAATCCATTTTTTTCAGATCTAATTCAGACTAAAAAACGTTGTCTTTATTCTCAGACTCTCATTGGCTGTTGTCATTTTCCTCTGTCGGGCATCGAGTCTGCAATATGTATATTGAATATACCATTATCACGATATATCAGCAAGCCCTAAAATAAATACAGCCTTATTGTTAAACCTACTGTTCAAATTAGTGTTTATTTTCAGCCTTGGGCCGCTCCAGCCAATAGCGGCTACTGAGCAGGTGGAGCTAAAGATAGCAGGGCCCTATCTGATTGGTCGCATTTATATAAACAACCAATGCATAAAATAAATCTACTTTATCACATGAGTCTGCAATATGTATATTGTGTATATCATTATCGTGATAACGATAATTATCGCGATATATCGTACACCGCTAAACTAAATGCGGCCATATTGTAAAAGTCTCCAAACGTTTGACTGGTAGCGTATGCGAAACATTCCAGCAATATTCTCATCTGATTGGAAGTAAAGCAGTCGGGCATCTTTGTGTCGTGATTTTTGAGAGTTGATAATAAAGCCTTAAAGTGTGTTTTCTGGTGAAATCAGCCCCCATGATCCTCGTGTGACGGTAAACACGGTTGTGAGTGTGAGTTTGTGGCGTGTTGGTGATTGTGTTTGGTCATACGGTGACCTCTCAAATGCTGTATTCAGTCTAATGATGCTTTTGCTGCTAACAGCCTGAAGGCGGTTATAATTCGATGTGCTTCTTCTCTTTCTGTAAAGCTGAAATACACACATGCACAAATTTTTCGGGAGTAAAACCAGCATTTTTCTGAGTGATCCTGTAGAGAAACACGTCTAGGTCATGTTTCAACCTCCAATTAGGAAATCCGCAAGTTATTAAATCATATTTAGGACATATATATATATATATATATAATTATTTTTTTGCATTTTCACAATTAAGGACGATTTCCAAAATAACAATGCAACTATTTATAACATTTTCTCGCCAAATTCCCATTAATAAATATTTTTACTTTTTTTAGATGCATTTTTAGCAATAATTAAGTTTTATTTTAATTTGAAAAATGTCATACATTGACATTTTTGCCATTAATCAATGATTTCTCCCCAATTTCACACACAAATATCATCAATGCAAGGTAAATGAGCCCTTAATGTATCATTTTTTATTTTTTTTGGAGGTGAAATATAACCAAAATGTTTTTAAGGGATTCACTCATCTGTTTTTCAGTGTGTTTTTGTATATATATATATATATATATATATATATATATATATATATATATATATTAGTGCTGCACGATATTGGAAAAACTTTATATTGCAATGTTTTATTTTTCTGCGATAAATATTGCAATATAAATACAATTGCAGAAGATGGTTTGAATAGGTCTATTTGACTATAGCAGCATTCAGGTACAGAAATTGAATACTCACAATGCAAAACATGTTTTTCTTGCTTGGCTTTGTCTCCTTTTTAGTATAAATATATATACAAATCTTTATTTTTCAATTTTGTTTTCACCTTTAGAGTTAAGAACCTTTCATTAAAACAAGCTAAATTATCTGCCAATGGGCACAATACAATAATCGTATTAAAATGTAGATCACTGGACTAGAAACAAGACAAAAATCTAAGTTAAAAAAAAAGCATCTAATTTTTGCATAAATAGTGTAAATCAGTGGTCACCAAACTTGTTCCTGGAGGGCTGGTGTCCTGCAGATTTTAGCTCCAACCCTAATCAAACACACCTGAACAAGTTAATCAAGGTCTTACTAGGTATACTTGAAGCATCCAGGCAGGTGTGTTGAGGCAAGATAGAGCTAAACCCTGCAGGGACACCGGCCCTCCAGGACCAGGATTGGTGACCCCTGGTGTAAATAATTAAATACAATTAATACTTGTTACACCTCTAAACATTTTTTTTTTTTTTAGCTTGGTTTTTTAAAAATAAATTTGTGCCCAAATGTTTTAAACTCTCCTGAAATGGACGGTCACAGACCTTAAAACACACGCAAATGAAAAACTTTTACTCTATTATAGATACTATGACTACAAAATGTGTTCTGTGGCTCCGTGTCAACTAGGAATTAGACTCAACACTGCATATCTTTTGATGTGACTGTTGCGGATGTGTTAATATACTGTGCAGCCCTAATATATATATATATTATATATATATGAATATATATGAATGATCATTTGGCACTAGAGTAAAGTTTTGTACGATTGCCGTGTTGAACTACTCACTTCAAACACTAATGTTGTACTTTTTATATGTCAGTAGAGGTGGATTGAGATTTCTTCTATATGTGTGTGTGTGTGTGTGTGTGTGTAAGATGTTTCTGTTCAGTAAATGTTTGTTTTGCATTTGCTTTTTGAATGGTTGAGGTTTTTCAGCACAGGAAACATGACAGTGTTATATTTACATCTATATGTGTGTGTGTGTGTGTTCAATCTGCCCTCAGCAGTGTACAGCTTACACTTCACGTGTAGGACTAACCAACCAACCACACAACTGGAGATCGAGTTTAGGTGCCTTTTCTGGTAATTGCCAAAATCATTGCCGGCTCATTTTAGAACAAATCAGGCATTTAGCGATGTCTAAAAGTAGCTGTTCCCCTGCACATACTCATTAATTGTATTAAAATGTCGATTAATAAATATTTGGCATTAACAAAACACGCATTTCAGTTTTTAACCAGTGAGCTTCACCATGAGTCAGTTGCTTTCTTGTGCTCACATGAGTCTGTTTGTTTAATACAAAAACAAGAGTCATGAAGGCTCTCAAAGCATGCGAGCAGGTCACATTGTAACCCCGTGTCCAAACAACACACTAAATGATGAGATACGCAGTGATAATTAATTTGGCAGTTTGCACCAAACGAAACACAACAGAAATGTAAATGCAGCCATTTAGAAGCACACCCTAATGTGCACTCTAATGAAATGGCAAGGTTTATAATCTAATTAATACACATTAAACCTCTTTAACATGATTAAATGTAGATGCTGGCTCACTGATATGTGTTGGTCTCAGTTCTAAAGTTCAATATCAACTGGTTTATTTTATATTCAA